CCTTCACCCCTCAGGCTATGTCCTGAGTGTGGATGTTGCTGGACCTCTTCGTGGACATGGGCGATCTCCTGACGGAAAGTTCTTTAAGTACTTTGTCATTGGGGCTTTCAGGATCCCCAAAGCTGATGGGATGGAAGTCGATCATGAAGTTCGGGGCCACCCTATACCGGACGACTGGAAAGAGGAGGAGCCCGAGGAGACGCTATCGGATGAAGAGGCTGAGTTTCCAGAGGAAGAGGAGGAGGTGGAGTTGCCTCCAGTGGGGGAGGAACAAAGGGCTAAAGAAGAATGGGAAAAGCTCAAAGCCACCTTTAAAGAACCCCTGGAGACCGAGACCTTGTACTACTGCGTGCCTGTCCGAAACAAAAAGGCCGCCACTATGCTGCCGGCGATCCAACAGATGGTGGTGGACATTAAGGCGCTGGGGTATCCGGTAGTGAGGGTTCATGCTGACCGAGGAGGTGAATTTCGTGGCAACTTGGTTAGGAAGTGGATCCTTTCGCAAGGAATGCTGCCAACAACATCAACAGGCTCGGAGCCAGCTGAAAATGGAGTGGCTGAGGCAGGAGTTCGATTCCTGAAGAGGCGAGCGAGAATATTGCTTGATGCTGCTGGGCTTCCGCGTGAACACTGGCCCACGGCAATTCAGACAGCAGCGGCCCAACAAAGGTGTGAGAAACTGGGCATCGTGCCACCCATGCCTGTGGCCTATGGAGCGAAGGTGTACGTGAAGATCAAGAAGTACAAGACGGGTGATGTTGAGGATCTGAGTCCTCACTGGCTTCAAGGGAAGTATCTGGGGCCAGCCACTGATATCCGAGGTGGGCATGTGATCCTGAAGTCCACCGGCACCTTCATCCAAACCACACATGTGAGGGTGGCCCGTGATCCACCACCTTTGGACACTGTGGCCCCCACCATTTTGGTGGAACCGGAATCGCCGCCACCCATGCCGCCACCATCAGCAGCTCCGGACTCAAAACCGGCCTCTACAAAGGATGATGAGCTTCCTCCATATCCAACAGGCCCACCTGTGTCCTATGCTCCGCCGATGACAAGGGCCACTTCGAAGACCCCTGGAGTGAGATTGAGGACAATGAAGGTGGAAGAGTGTGGAGGTGAGGCACCAGATGAACTAGATGCACTACAAGCACGCTTGGCGGAATGCGATGGTGGAGACGATGGCGAACTCCGAATGTGTGGTTTGCAGCCACACCAAACCTCAGAGGTGGAGATCATGGCGAGGCGATTGTGTGAAGCGGGGAAGTATGAGAAGAAGGGGTGCGTAGAGATTTTGGGGGAACTCGACAAGGTGAAGTGCAATTTGCGAAATCCTCGGGCTCTTGTGGGCCAAGGGATATTGATGGGGGCCTATGTTCAAGGACCCTTCCATGGCATAACCTCGAATGCCAAAGCACTGCCTTGGACGACGAGGTACCTGAATGCCTACCTTCTTCAGCAACTTAAGAGATCGTACCCGGATCGTCAGCCAACATGGAGTACCCTTGTGTTGCACCACATCGCCGAGGCCAAGATGCATAAGGACATCCACAATGAGAAGGGGACCACCAACTACATCATGGAACTGCCCATGGAAGTGAAATCCGGGCTTTGGTTGGAACATGGAGGTGATCTTGGTTCCACTCTTGCACGGGGTGAACGACGCCTACACGAGCATGGTGAAGATCCTCAAGCCCTGGTTGAAGGAAAATTGGTGGATGTCTCAAAACACCCGGCGGGGTTTGACCCAAAAAGACGACATGCGTGGGTGAAGGACGATGGAAGGAAGTGGATTCTTTCCGCTTACACCCCGGCGGGGTTGCATCGCTTGGGGCGAGGCGACTTAGCGTTTCTTCGTGATCATGGTTTTCCTCATGAAGGTCCACAAGAACCAGAAGGCTCTGGTGGCAACACGATGAAGGTGCTCTCGGTGAGCGAGACATTGGAAACCACACCTTTGTCTGAGGTGTCCTCTTCTGGTCCAGAGTGCACGTCTCAGGGCGGAGCCCGAGTCGTATGGGAAGAGGAGGAGGATACCCCTGCTGCTTGGGAGGAGGTTGAGTATGTAGGGGATTGGGAGGTGTTCGTCGATGATGAGTTCGAGCATGGAGATGACCCAGAAATTGGTTCCCCTGATCCTCCGCTACTACGTCGTGTTTGTGGATCTGATGACCCTGGAGGAGAGCTGGAGTATGTTTGCCGGCGCTACATGAACCACTTGGAGTGGGAGGACGTGCCTGATGAAGTGGGTGAAGATATGGCTTCAAAGCTGGAAAGTTGGCCGTCACATGGATTGGGTCCGAGAATGGCAAAAATGGAGCCGGAGTACACCCCGAACATCGAGGACCTGATTCGGAATCTTCAAGAACCCCTACGACATACCCACAATGTGAGTCCAGCGGAAGTGAGGCAGAATCCTACGAAATGGCTGCCCTCTATCAAAAAGGAACTACAGGTGGTGGAAAAGGGGTTTCAACGATTGAGTTCATCGCAGGCGAAGCAGTATGAGAGGGACCCGAATGTGCAGAATCTCCCAGCGAAAATGGTGTATACCCTCAAGCCTCCGGCAGCCGAGAATCAAGAGACCGGTGGCGAGGAGAGTTGGTGCAAACGCAAAGCTCGAATTGTATGCTGTGGAAATTTTGCTGATGATGCCCCTCAAGATGTTTTCGCCAGCGGTGCAGCAGCGGAAAGTATGAGGTGCACCTTGGTGTACTCGATGTATCGCAGATGGATCACTGGATCCTTGGACATAACGGGGGCCTTTATGCTGACACCAATGCCCGTTGGTCCTGACCAAGTGCGGTACTTGATTACACCTCCAGCGATCCTGGTGCAACTGGGTTTGGGGCAACCTGGTGAGAAGTGGCTGTTGACACATGGGATGTATGGGCTACGTCAATCACCAAAGCTGTGGGCGAACTATCGTGACAAGATGATGAAGGAGATGGTTTTCGAAACCGAGGATCGACAATGGAGGCTTCACCAGGGCGCTGCGGAACCGAACATTTGGTTCATCTATGAAGCTGGCAGTTCATGTCTGGATCCACCAGATGGCACAATCTTGGTTTATGTGGATGATTTGATGATCTGTGCCCCCCTTGCTTTGCTCACGGCGACGGCATCTAAGATTGGTTCGGTGTGGAAAACGTCACCATTGGAGGTGATGACCCGGGATCGTGGCATTAGTTTTCTGGGATGTGAGATTGAGATGGCCGATGGGGAAAAGGGCATATATCTTCATCAACGTCCCTATGTGATGGAGTTGCTGAGGTCCCATGGCATCCCGGAGCACCACAAGTCGCCAATCCCATGTTCTAGGGAGCTGTTAACGTTCGCTGCGGAAGATGGTGAATGCCCTGGGACTGAAAGCGAACTACGACAAGCCCAACGTCTGTGTGGTGAGTTGTTGTGGATTGCACAGAGGAGCAGGCCGGATATATCGTTTCCGGTAGCGGCCATGGGCTCTTTGCTCACAAAGGCTGCACCTCGCTGCATAGCCATTGGCCTGAAGCTACTGGCATATTTGCAGGCCACCATGAGCTACGCCCTATGCATCCAGGACAATGGCCCTGGTCTGACGGCCTGGAGCGATGCTTCCTTTGCTCCAACTGGAGAGCGAAGCCACAGCGGCATTGTCATCACTTGGAGAGGGAATGTCGTTGGTTGGCGGTCTTCCCGCCAACCATTCGTATGCCTGAGCACGGCGGAGTGTGAGTTGATGGCATCGATAGAGGCCTTGGTGATGGCGATGTCAATGCGAGCAATCACCGACCAATTTGAGAAGGGTGATTCGAAGATCGGCCTGAAGGTGGATAACCAAGCCGCCATCGTGCTGGCCAGTCCGGCATCCAGCGCGAGCTGGAGAACTCGACATCTTCGTGTTCGAGCGTCCTTCCTGAGGGAGAAGATCGAGCTGAACCAAGTGGCCCTGGAATTCGTTCCAGGCAAGCTGCAATTGGCAGACCTATTAACCAAAAGCTTTCCACGCCAGCGGTTACAGGAATTGGTGGGCCTCTGGGGCATAGTCGATAGGGTCGTACGAACAGCTGAGACCTCATTGGCGAGGATGGTTGTTTTGATGATGATGGTGCAAACTTGCCGGGCAAGGCAAGTAAAGGAGCCAACGCCTTTGGATACATCTCTGGAGCTGTATGTCGTGATGATTTTGGCTGGGGTGGCTTTGGTGGCTGCCTGGGAAGGCCTATGGTGGATTTGGTATCGCCTGTTTGATGGTCACGACGCCTCGCGACGAGTGAAGCGCCTCCGTCGTTTGCAGCAAGCAGTGGAGATGGAACTGCACCATCAGATGAACAATCGCGTTCGTGAAGAACGACCCGAAGAGCCCCTCTGCCGATCCATTGGAGTGCAAGCTGACCTGGCGATGGTTCGTTTGGTCCCACAGGAGCCGATGACGCGAATTGAAATCAGGGAGGTCGAGGTCCCTGTCCCCGAGATCCCCAACGGCCCGTTCTACATCACTGATGGAGGGGATCATGTGCATACGTATAGGCACTGCTGGGGGTTACGAAATTCCTCGAGTGTTCAGCAGAGGATGATGTGCAGAGTGTGTCGTGAAGGCCATGGAAGGTCATTACGGCAAGCAAGGACAGGTTGACGATATGTACAGTAATCAGGCATCGGTTACCGAAGCCAGATGAAGGAGGAGTGATGAAGAGTCCTTCTCTTGTCAACCTTGAATTCAGGCGAGCGTGAAGGGCTCGAAGGACGCATGGCAGCACAGCAGCCAAGCGAAGCAGACATAGCATGGCAGCACAGTAGCCATGCAAATCAAAACCAAAGCATGGCAGCACAGCAGGCCATGCGAAATAGGACATTCGGAGAGCATTTGTTCAGATCTCTCGTGCCCGAAGCAGACAAAAATTCGAGCGATGGCATTCCCCATGGTTGCTGAATCTGCTGGCTCACCTGCTGCTCGTCAGCACCTAAACCCTAAACCCCAAGCCCTAAACCCGAAACGCTAAACCCCAAGTCCAGGCCTCGGGAATCTCCCTCCAGATCCCCGTGCGGTGAGGGTAGCGGGCCGGCCACGTCAGAGCCTGCCACGATGGTGGAAAAGGGAGGGAGGGGGGGGGGGGGGGGGGGGGTAGGGTTTAGGGTTTAGGGTTTAGGGTTTAGGGTTTAGGGTTTAGGGTTTAGGGTTTAGGGTTTAGTGTTTAGTGTTTAGTGTTTAGGGTTTAGGGTTTGTGGTTTGGGGTTTAGGGTTTAGGGTCTAGGGTTTAGGGTTTGGCGTTTAGGGCTTATAGGGTTTAGGGTTAGGGGTGAGGGTCTATAGGGTTTAGGTTTTTGTCGACCTGGGACCCTATTTATCTCAGATTATTAGTAGTGGTAAGGTTTTAGGGTTTAGGGGTCAGTTAGGGTTTAGGGTTTAGGGTTTAGGGTTTAGGGTTTAGGGTTTCGGGTTTAGGGTTTAGGGTACTTAGGAGGTACAACCTAAAAACTGTAGGAAAATAGGGTCCCAGGTAAGGCCTAGGGTCTGGGCTTTTGGGTTTAAGGGTTTGGGTTTAGGTTCCGGGTTCACGGTTTAAGGTTTAAAGGCTGCAGGGCCAGCTTTAAAGTGGGGTGGTTCGCGGCTCCGGCAGAAGCAACAAACCCAAAACCGCTTGAGTGCAGGATGCTTACTACCAAAAAAGCCCTAGGGGTGTGAAATAGGCGCACCCTTACCCAAAAAAAGACCTACAACCCACAACCCACAACCCAAAAAGAAACAAACACACACACACACACACACACCAAAAACCAAAAACCAACGACAACATAGGAGAAAGACAAACAAGCACTAGAAACCAAAAACTGGAGGCTGGAGGAGCCTCGAGCCCCTGGGCGTGCTTTTGTGCCAAGGCGAAGAAGAAGATCCCTTAAGGGTTTGGGGTTTAGGGTTTAGGGTTTAGGGTTTAGGGTGACAGAGAAGATCCCTTAGGCTAAGGCCCTTAGGCTAAGGCCTTACAAAGGCCAAGCTGCTTGCGAACCCCGAAGTTCCCATTAGCCCGACTTAGCCCAGGAACCATATTATCATAAGGGCACCTTTTTTTTGGGGTTTAGGGTCTAGGGTTTAGGGTTATAAGGGAACCTTGAATCTCAAAAAAGGGAAAGGGGCACCACTGGGCTACCAAGCTAAACCCTAAACCCTAAACCCTAAACCCCAAACCCCAAACCCTAAACCCCCAACAGCTCGAACAAAGCGATCGGACTCGGCATCCTTGGCCTGCGTGTCTCCGGGACGAAACTTTGTGGCAGAGCTCGCCAAGTCCCAACTCCTCCGAGACCTGGGTTTAGGGTTTTAGGGTTTTAGGGTTTAGGGTTTTAGGGTTTCAGGGTTTGAGGGTTTTAGGGTTTTAGGGTTTTAGGGTTTTAGGGTTTCAGGGTTTTAGGGTTTTAGGGTTCTAGGGTTTTAGGGTTTTGGGGTTTTAGGGTTTTAGGGTTTTCGGGTTTTAGGGCTTTAGGGTTTTAGGGCTTTAGGGTTTAGAAAGAAAATGGGACGCTGTGGGAGTGCACTTTTTCGACAAAAAGCACGCAAAACTTCAAAAAACCCTAAAAACATACGAAAAACGTGCAACAAGAAATAAACCACACAAAATCCCTACAAACAAAAATAATGAAAAAGAAACAAGAAAACCCAAAAAAAAAAAAAAAATCCTGAGGGACTCTGTTGGGGAGCCGGACCCCTGGGAAGAGTCTCTCAGGATTGGTTTTTTTGGTTGTTTTGGATTTTTTGGTTTTTTGGGGATTCTTGTCCAAGAGAACCAAAAAAACCAAAAAAACCAATCCCGAGGGACTCTGTTGGGGAGCCGGACCCCTGGGAAGAGTCTCTCAGGATTGGTTTTTTTGTTTTTTTTTGGTTTTTTTGGTTTTTTTGGGGATTCTTGTCCAAGAGAACCAAAAAAACCAAAAAAACCAAAAAAACCAATCCTGAGGGACTCTGTTGGGGAGCCGGACCCCTGGGAAGAGTCTCTCAGGATTGGTTTTTTTGGTTTTTTTTGGTTTTTTTGGTTTTTTTGGTTTTTTTGGTTTTTTTGGTTTTTTGGTTTTTTGGTTTTTGGTTTTTCGAGGATTTTTGTGTATTATTGGAGATTTTGCTGTACCATTTTCTTTTTTACGGTTTTTCTGTGTCTTCTGAAGGTTGTTTTTTGGTTTTTCTTTAGGCTTTTAGGTGTTATTTCATTTTTGTACGCATTTTTTGTACAGTTGTTTTTTGGTATTTGTGTTTTGTGTGTGTTTTATATTTCTGAGTGCCCTTTTGTACGTGACAAAAGCACTAACATGGACAATCAAGCACATGGCATTCTGTGTTTCTCTCATCTGGTGGGCGATGAACGGCATGTCCTGATGCTTGCGAGCGAGAGACGTGACAAAATCCCCTCTAGGTCCTGCTTTGCACAAATTTAAACAACATTGATATATTATCCATGAATTTCGTGCTCCCAGCCACATGGTTTGAAAAGCATGGATTTTTTGGAAAACATTGGTTTTACCGACGTTTTTTCGGCTCCATCCTTCAAAAAATTGGTAAAACCAATGTTACCCATGAATTTCGTGCTCGCGGCTACATGGTTTGAAAATCATGGATTTTTGGAAAACGTCGGCTTTACCAATGTTTTTCGGCTCCATCTTTCAACAACATTGGTAGAACCAATGTTTTCCATGAGTTTCGTGATCTGAGGCTCTCTCCCAGCCACCATTTCTCGAGGAGGTACCAAAAAGCAAACTCGAATTCTGCAAAATCTCGAGAGAGTACCACAACCTCCATATAATCAATCGCGCCCCAATACGCAAGGCATGACATCTATCCTAAAAACTATACCTTAGCTAGGATGAGTCAAGCAATCACCCCCCAATAGGCAAAACCTAATATCTATACTAAACTCTGTACCTTAGCAACATATTTTAAGACATCACGCCCTAAGGCTCCTACTAATGTAATAAGGTTCCTATCAATTTAAACAGGGCTCTTATTCATGTTACTGGGATTCGCAAAGGGTTTTAATTAATTTTAAGGATTAGGCTCATATTAGTTTAGCAGGGTTCCTATTAGTTCTTGTACAAGGATTCTATTGTTTTGCAGGCCTATTGGTTCCCATTCATTTTAGCAAGATTCCTTCTCGTTCTAATAGGATTCTTGTGAATTGTAACCCGGGTTCTTTTTGATTTGTCAAGGGTTCCTATTCATTTTAATAGGCTTCCGTCCTATCAACTGTTATCCGGTTCCGATAATTCAATAGAGGATCTTAATTATTTTAATAAGGCTCCTACTCATGTAATAAGATTCCTATCAATTTTCATCAGATTCTTGTTCATGTTAATGGGATTCGTATTCATATTAATAGGGATCTCATTCACTTTAAAGGGGTTCCTATTGGTTTAGGCTCATGTTCATTTTAGTATTTCTAAGGGTTCGCCTGATTTTTTATAGGAGTCCGATTGGTTCGTATTAATTGTAGTAGGGTTCCTCTTCAGTTTAATAGGATCCCTATTAGTTCTACGAGGATTCTCATCTTTTTGTGAGGGGTCTCCAATTCATGTTAAGAGGCTTCCTATTGACTTTACGGCTCCGATTATTTAAAATAGGGTTCCTACGGATATAAATAGAGGATTCCTATTGTTGTTTCTAGGATTCCAATGAAGTTGGCCAATTTATTTTGAAAACGGGGACAGGACATACACCGTATCGCTGCTTTGTGTTGGCGTTGTGCATGACTCGTGATTTTGTTTATATAAAATACGGCTGCGCTGTGAGAGTGTTTTTGAAATTTCTTTAAACAAATAGAAAAAAGTGCACTCCCACAGCGTCCCGGTCTCTTTAGAAAAAGCTCAGCCCTGAAGGCATGTTGTGAGGCTGTTCCCATGCGTTCGAAAATTACCCTAAGCCCTACACCCTAGAAATCCGCGACAAAAACTCATCCGGGATCTTGCTTCAGACCACGCCTAGTCCTTTCCCAAGACTTGGGGGGGTTGACTTAGTGGTTCTGAGTCGGGACTAAACTACCTAACTCCCAGCTACAAGAACGGGTAAGTTTAAGGCACCCTCAGCCCTCCTCCCTAAGCCCTAAACCCTAAACCCTAAACCCTAACCTTGCAGTTCCAGTGGCTGTCAGTACGTGCACATGTCGAGGGGTGGGGCATGTCAATGGCAAAATGACCCGAACCCTTCACCAAACCCTTGCACATGCGCCAAGCCTTGGCCGATGACCCCACATTAACCCGAGCTTTGACAGTTCCGGAAGATCCCGCAACACCCACACAAGCCCATGCTCTGAAGCCCCCGTAAATGCTTAGTTACATCCATGTTCCCTGAACCCGCAACCCTCAGCCCTCGAACCTGCAACTACCCTCAAGGGATTAGAGGGTTTAGGGTTTAGGGTTTAAAGAGATGCAGGTAGGACCCTCCATCCTCCTGAAACTCTCAAACCACCAGCCTGTCTCTCGAGCCCGCACGGCAGCATCACAGCGGCCTGATGAGCCCAAAGATCGTAAATGCAAGCAAACCCATACCCCTCAACCTATATGAAAGGATAATATAAGGGTTATTCTTACTGGGGTTTTCTTCACATCAGTGAAGAAAACCGGAGAGCTAATTATGCTTGCACAGGTGACTCACTTTTTGCCCATAGAATTACATTATGAAAGGTGAAAAGGAGAGAGATGCACGAATTAGGGCTTTTTCATGCACTTCTTTCTCCCTCAGTAATAACATTCACATGTTCCCCTTGAATTAAAGTTTCTTTCGCTCACTAGTATTAATATTGCCAGCGTGAGCGCATGAATTATAATATCGTGACTCACTCACTGTATTACATTGTAAACCTTGGAATGTTGGGCAAGGCACCCATATTACTACTGTTAATAGCCCCCTACAGCACCCCACACAGCAAGTGAACTATGGCTCATGGCTCAAAGGATCCGAAGCCCTAATCTGCGAATCCAAAATCTCGGAGCGCAAGGTACGGACAGGTCACCCCAAACCGAACCCTGAACCCTGAACCCCGAACCCTAAACCCTAAACCCTGAACCCTGAACCCTCTGAGGCATCAACCTTGCTGGAGATATTGGCATTGCCACCTCTCGAGTCGGAGAGTATCGCGCCTGGCACAGTCTTTAGAGTTCAGTAACCTTAGGGTTTAGGGTTTAGGGTTTAAAGTTTAGGAATACAGGCTCCAGGGTTTAGTAGGTGCAAAAGACGAACTCACGGCTTTGGGATGTTTAGGCTCCGGTCCTAGCTCGATAGCAGACATCTGGGGGACCTATGAAAACCAGTCAAGAAGCCGCCTAAACCCTAAACCCTAAACCCTAGACCCTAGACCCTAAACCCTAAACCCTAAACCCTAAGAGTCTTGACACACAGCGACTCGTAGTCCTTCTGACGCTTTTTGAGGTGGGCGGGGTTTGGGACTTCTTTCAGATTTAGGCGCTTGGCCTATGATGCCCCAGAACCCAACCCCGAACTCCGAGCTCACAAGCCCTCGAATCACAATGCAGGCCTGACCGCCCCATTTGTTCTCAAAACCTCACAAGACCCCAAGATTCCACTGCCATGCACGCAAATTGAACCCTAAACCCTAAACCGTATAAACCCTAAACCCTAAACCCTAAACCCCAAACCCCAAACCCCAAACCCCAAACCCTAAACCCTAAACCCTAAACCCAAGCCTTCTGTGCTAAAAACGCAAAGTGTGTACACATTATGCAGTAAGGGCACCATTGCTTTGGTTGGTTACTTTGTAAGGGAGCTCAGAACCAAAAAAGGGTAAAGGGTACCACTTGGCTATCAAGCTTACAAAGGCAGTTTAGGGTTTAGGGTGTCTAGGGTTGATAGGGTTGATAGGGTTTATAGGGTTTATAGGGTATTTATAGGGTTTATAGGGTTTATAGGGTTTAGGGGATGTATGGTGACCCAGAATGGTGTGTTTCAACATGCCGAGCTCTAACCCTGCAGCCGCCTGGGAACGATTCCGAGTGCTTCCGGTGCTCCTGGATGCGCACATCTGGGAAGCCGGTAGCCCTACGATAAGGGCCCCTTAATCATTAGAATAGGGTTTGGGGGGTTAGAATGGTATAACTTACAAAGGGACCATAAGGGAATGCTATTCGTAGTTTTCTTCCGACCCCTATATCTTACGCCCCAAACCCAACCAAACTGAACCGCACTGAAGCGCCGAAGAACCCAAGTCAGTTCTCCATATGGGGGGGGTGTCCAACAATAGAGGCACCCCTTTTCGGGGGGGGGGGGGGTCCCTTTAAAAGGATTCTCGTATTTTGGGGTAGATAAGGGGTCTCAGTCTTGGTCCCCGTGATTACAGGCCTCTGTCCACTTCCGTCCACAGGGCACCAGAAAAGGGAGGAACTACCGAGAAACGACAATGACCATACGCGCAGGGCTTCAGTTCTATCACTCTCGGATGCCCAAGGCCCCTTCTAAGGATTCCATGTACCATGTACAATGAGAGGGGGGGGGGGGGGGGGGCAGTAGGGTTTACGGTTTAGGCCCAACTTACAAAACTCCTCTAAGGGTTCACCCAGAGATTGGGCCTTTGCTGCTGAACTGTGGGGCCCCCTCCTGGCACCTCTATCATAAGCTCATTATGGACAGGGACCCCCCCCCCCCCCCCCAACGAAAAAAAGGGAAGACCCTGATCACTAAACCTACTTCATCCCTGAAAACCCACCAGCCCCAGATGATGACCTGACCACAAATTGTGTGTTTCACCTCGCGAAGCAAATCTGCAAGAAAAGCAGTAGTAGCTCCGCCCCCGCAAAAAGCTGGAATGGAAAGCTTTGGGTTTTGAGTGAGGGTTTCAGCCATACCGGCTAATCTTGCTCAGGCTTCCCGACCGGGTCTGCAACAGCACCACTCGAAGCGTTAAAGCCAAGAGCCACAAACTGCCGTCCCCTACTCCCGCAAGCCCGAAATCCCAAAACCGAAGCAGCCATGGAGCCCAAAAAACCCATACTCAAACCCCAAAGCCCAAAGCCCAAAGCCCAAAGCCCAAACCCCAAACCCCTAAACCCTAAACCCCAAACCCCGGGTTGCTCAACTCCTCGATTCCCTTCTGCCGCTGCTCCGGTGAGATGTAGCTCCTGGCGTAAGAAGGGAATCCCTCAAAAACCATGGACCCTCAACCCGAAACCCTAGGCGCTTAGGGGTTTCTTGAACCTTGGGGCGGGGGGGTTTCAAGGTTCAGGCGCTTCTGGCTCCTGGCTTTTGAGGTTCCATAAGAGGGCTCTTAAGGGAGGGGGGGTTTCAAGGGGGGTATGTAACCCAAGGTTCCCAAATACTCCCTACTACTCCCCAAGGCTCCCGAAGCTTCGCTAAGGCTCCGAGGTACCTACCCCCCATGTAAACCCTAAACCCTAAACCCTAAACCCCCCCTCCCTCACGAATGTCATGATTCTATGGCTCCACAGAAGCAAGGCTCCCTGAGGCATGCAGGGCTGAAGGGCTGGGGGTTCAGGGTTTACGGTTTAGGGTTCAGGGTTTAGGGTTTAGGGGGTAGAGTGGGTAGAGTGTAGGGGTTTAGGGCTCATGGTGTAAAACCAACAGTCTGAACCTTCGTGGGTCACATGGTCGCATGGATCAAGCAAGGCCCCAGAAAATGGCCCAGGGCGAACGTGGTCCCTGCAGAGAGGTAGGCATAGGGTCTACCTTAGACCACAAAAGGCCTTCAGCTGTTGAGCCGTATACATAAAGCCTTCTTTCTGTAGGCTCTTTGGGGGGTCTGAAGTATCAAACTGAGGATGTTTAGGACTCTATCCAATAAAGTTTCAAAAAAGCCGTGGATTGGCAGGGCTTTTTTCAAGTAAAGGCTAAACCCTCAGGACTTATAGGCCCGGAACCCTAGAATTGATAGGGTACGGTCCTTTCCATGAAACAAAACCCTAAACCCTAAACCCTAAAACCCTAAACTAAACCCTAAGCAAGCACCTGCAGAGTGTCTGGAAGGATGTCGAGGAAAGGCGCACGGCGCTGCAACGTCCACGGCGCCAGAAGACCTCCCAGGAAGTTCTATGTAGGGTTTAGGGTTGAGGGTTTAGGGTTTAGGGTTTAGGGTTTAGGGTTTGCAGGGGCCTTGAGTGGGCTTCATGTAGGTGCTCGAGGGAGTTGGTGAGTTTCTCTAAATTATAGGGCCCCTTTTTGGAGTCCTTATTCTAAGGCCGCCCCTCTTCTTTATTTGACGAGGGATCGTGACTTTGGGAACTTCTGGGGCCCAAAGAAAACGTAAAAGCCTGAGAAGGAAGCTGCAGAACCAAGCTCGCAGTGGCTCCTGGCACATCGGGTTTAGGTTTCCAATAATACAAATAATGAGAATGCTAATAATCAGAATAAGAATAAGAATAATAGTAATAATCATAGTCATAATAATAATAATAATATCAGATCTGCCTGGAAGCTTGAAACCTGCAATCCTTGTAAAACCCAACTGCCGAGCTCCCTTGTTTTCGGAATCTTCCGCCACCGAGGACTCCTGCGCGCTACGAAGCTCTAAGCCACGAAGTTCTTCAAGCAAACTGGGAGGGTTTAGGGTTTAGGGTTTAGGGTTTCGGGTTTCGGGTTTAGGGTTTCGGGTTTCATGTGCTAACCCTCACGCCTGGCACGAGGCATGTTGCCCCGCTCCTGTACCTTAAACATCGGTTGGGGTTGGGATGTTCCCCCTGGCGCTAACAGTCCTTAATAGGAATTCTAGTAGCGGGGGGGTACTATAATCCCTATTAAGGACTGCTAGTATAAGGGGGGAACATCCCAAGTTTGGGGGATTGAGATTCTAAGTCGCGTCAGCCTACATCCTAATCGGCAATCGGCTGTCTCACCCTTTCTCAGCGGGCGAAGGGCTTGAGAAGCAACGGCAGAGACTCCGAGACCCCCGGTTGTCCACGATCTCCGGCGCAGCCAAAATCTGGCGGCAAAGCGCCGACGCCGCAACTGCAAGCTCAAATTTGATTGCATTCCCATTTCGCGATGAGGCGTCTTGGCGGCAACCCAGACTGCGTGGACATGGTGTTGCTACGTCGGAGAGGAGCTCGACAAGGAGGCCGCCGGAACTGTTTCAAGATAAGGACCGGCTAGTCACTGACCGGCTCGCAGTATCGAAGGGCGCAGCTTCCCCCCCAGCTCGACCATGGAATGCCGCTTCAGCATCTTCATCAAACCTCAGCGCGAAGTTTTGGGGCATGGGATCACTGAGGCGATGCCGCCCTCAATCATACGGGGGTTTACGGAAACAAGGGACCCAAATAGCAGGATTCCCTTATGAGGACCCCAATAAGGTACCCCTAACATCGTAAACCCCCCACATGGAACAGGAACAAAGTACTCCCAGTGCTGCTGAGCATCTGTGAACGGTGATCACCGCCAACCTGCTGCGGGCGCTTACTTTGGGCGGGCCGGGCGGGGGGGGGGCACTAGCCCACTCCAACCGCCCCCAATTAAAACCATTCTTATGATAGGAACTCACTCCCCCCCCCCCCCCCCCCCAAGTGGGGTACCCGACAGGAAGGAGGCGTGTTGCGATCAGTCCCCCCAAGAGCATTTCAAGTGCTTAGTGCGTTCAATGCTGCCGTCGAACCACAAACCTGAACCCCGAAATGCCAATCTTGCAGGTTTGTGGTGGTTAAGACTCAGGCCATTGGTGTGGCTCCTTCAAGCAACCTGAGTCCTGAATCTGCTGTGAATCTGGGCATTTCCAAAACTCCCAAGAGACTGTGATCCTTATCATAGGAACCCCCCCGAGAAGCCTAGAGATGCTGGAGGCGCGGCAAGCACTGGGGTTTAGGGTTTAGGGTTTAGGGTCTAGGGTTTAGGGTTTAGGGTTTAGGTTTCGGGTTTCGGGTTTCGGGTTTAGGGTTTAGGGTTTAGGGTTTAGGGTTTAGGGTTTAGGGACCGCTGGAAGGGGGTGTGGTAAGGGCTTGGGGTTTTGGAAATTAGGATTTGGTGGATAGGGTTATGATTCTGATAGGGTGGTAGGGTTTTTGGGGATTTGTAGGGCAACTGCACAGCGGTCTCATGAACACATGGAGCCACAATCACTCCAGGGTGCAGATAACAGCCAGCAGACCTGTCATGCATCAAACTTCAAGAAGGCCAAACCCCGAAATCAACTCAGCCCGAAAACAGCGTTGAACCTCTAGCACAACCCAACAGGACCCAACTGCTTCAAGAGCCAAGAAGCCCGCCAGCGGGCCCCGTGCGCAAAAAAAAGCCGATCGCTTGCTGGGCGCCAGCTCCTCTCCGGGGTCAGATGGGGGAGTCGACAGCTGGGTTTAACTTACTTCTCCAAAAAAACCCCAGGATAAGGAAGGTTTAGTAAGTTAAGGGTTCAGGGTTTGCACAGAAAGGCAAGTTACATCATGAGGCAGTAGGAGCTTGGAAATAGTTAGAACAAAGCACTGGCGAAGAGCGCACGATAGAATCCATCAACTTGTGCAGGATCCAATGCTTTGCTGTGCTCGTTGCAGCAACATCACCGGCTTACAAGAATTCATGCCGAGCTTTCTGCTGTACATGCGGAGAATTCACGCCGAGCTTTCTGCTGTACTTGCGGAGGCCTCTCTGTACAACATCATCGACTGACGACAATCAATGGCGTTCCCGCGTCGGCGTGAGACCGACTCTGACTATGCCCGACTCCTGTGAGCTAATGCGAATGTATGTATTTCAAGGCACCGTTCACTGCCTGCTACTTACACTACGTAGGTCACGATGACAGAGGTCCACATGGCAAGGGCAAATATGGATGCCAGACTCTGGTAGAAGAGGCCGGTGGTCAACTCGTTCGAGTTGATCCCTTTCAAGATGCAAACTGTCACCTATACTGAACTTGGAAACCCTCGCAAACATCATCATCATTTTTGAGTTGCTTCTTAGGAATTAGAGTACCCAAAAACCAGAGAAAAAACTTTTCCAAGCGTCCCTAAGTCACCAGGAGGTATGCAGTGGGTGTGCAGCACTCCAAGCACATCACAAGGGTCAAGGCAGGGTCGCTGGGGTAGATCGACAAGTGCCTCCGCAAGACGGCCCAAAGACCAATGCAGCAAGCAGGGAGAAATACAAGCCTTGCAGTAATGAAGGCGCAAAGGGGTGCGTAGCCGATTGTCGATGGATGAGGCACGCCGTCCGCCACGAACAGGGCACCCACGACAAGGAGGGCGACGGACGGCCCAGCATGTCCCAACGCTGACATGGCGCCGAACACTGGACTCAACAAGCCCGAGACGAACACATCCTTCACCCCAGGGATGAGGGCCAAGACAGTCGTGAACATTGCAGTACCCACAGGCCGATTCAGCCACTCAGGGATGCGCTGGCGACATTCTGCGACTTTGTCCCATGGCTTGAGCTGGCGCGTTTGCTGCTCTGACTCCAGGCTGTCAGAAAGCGTCAGCCCCGAGATCACCCGACCAATCGAAGTCGGATGCAGAGCTCCTGCAGTGGTCTGAGTCTGAGAAGTGCAATCTGACTGCGGTGACGCGGACGATGCCGGTCCCTCATCCTTCTCCTTGATTATGTTCATTCCAACGCCCCAAAGCGTAATGTTGTGCATGATCAAATACAAGCCCACGTAACCCTGGGCTGTGGTGACGTCATCCTCCTTGAAGACCGGTTCTTGACTGACGATCAGCCCCACCAGAACAAAAGGGATTGCATTTGCGTGTCCAATTGCAGGAGTCGCAGTCAAGATGCTCCGCATACTCGGCGAGCTTGGCCTGGTCACAAGCACGCTGAGGTAGCCAATCAGCAGCCCAAAACCAACGTAGATGAGATTTGCGGCAGCCAACCAACCAAGCGTGGGAAGCTTTTCCAGCGAGATGGTCGGCAAGATGTTCGTGAACAGTAAGCATGGCAGGAAAAGGTTCAAGGACATTTGGGAGATGGCCTGGCGAATATCCTTGTTGAGAATGCCCGCCCTCTGCAGATATGCGCCCGCGGCACATATCATGACGATCTTTGTCACGGCGGCAACGCTGGTGCTAAACGCCGCCAGGAACAGCGAGGACATGATGCTGGCTTGGCAAAAGAGCCCGAACAACGACAACCACAAGAAGCAGCAGTTGACTGAGCCAAGAAAAAGCCCAACAGCGAGAACCAAGTGAGCCCACCTGCCAGGCTTCTTGTCCCATGCAAGGAGCTACTGACGTCGGCCTTTGCTAAAAATTAACTGTGTTGGGACTAGCTGACTAGCTTTTATGTGCTCCGTAAACTACTCCCTGATTGTTCTTGCTTAGGAGCACGGGCACTGGCGCGTAGAACTTCGGAAACCCTAAACCCTAAACCCTAAACCCTAAAGTAGAACTTCGGACTGCAAGCTTGGGCTTCAGAGTTCAAGGGCCGGAGCTGTATGCACTTGTGTAGGATGCCCACACGTCCTGAAACCCATACTTGGTAGCCCAGTACCCAAGTACCGTAACCGCATTCTAGTAAGGGCACCCTTTTTGGGGTTGGTTACTTTATAAGGGAACCTTGAACCCAAAAACGGGGAGCAGGGTACCCCACTGGGCTACCAAGCGCTTACGAGGAAGCTCCTGCAAGGCCACGCCGCACGGCTCACCAGCCCCAGTCTCCGGACTGCCGCGCAGGCGAAGTATGGAAGGCCATCCTGGGTTTAGGGTTTAGGGTTTAGGGTTTAGGGCTTAGGGTTTAGGGTTTAGGGTTTAGGGTTTAGGGTTTAGGGTGATCAACTATTTGGGGGTTTGCGAACATAGGGGCTCCCTTTTGGGGGGTCCCTTTAAGGGGATTCTACTCTGTTTGGGGTATTCAACGGGGTTCCCTACGTTGGGGCAATACCCACTTGTTAAGGACATGGACTGGCTGAACCATCTGTTACCTTTCACATCCTCGACTGCTTTCGGCCATGCTCGTACCCACAGCAGCTTTCCTTGGCTCGATCTACTACTTGGGGTCCATATTAGGGGTCCCTTATTCTTGGAAGTAGGGCTTAAGGGACAGGACCGAATGCAGGTGCAAGAGGCTCTCCTGGTGTTCCTGCTGCCTCAGATTCCAAACTTGTTCCTGATCTGAATCTTGGGCATAGCGGCTGCTGCGGTTTCTGAAGCTTAGGGTTTAGGGTTTAGAGTACACACCATCTGCCAACTACATGCTGGCTGCTGTTGCAAGTTGCGAACGCGTCCCTGCCTTACCATGTACAGTACCAGGTGAAGGGGGCACTTGTCAAAATCAGATCTGCGCATGAAGAAAGGCATTGAGGCATGGCTAACCTCTGGCGGTTCCCCGGTTCCTTCAGAAAGCCTAACACCCTAAACAATACACCCTCTGTTCTGTCAAGATTGCCGATGGGACGCAGCGAGTTATGCGACAAGACAAGGTGAAGAGACAACAAGGGCTTAGGAGTTGTGACACCAACTTGAAATAAACCCTAAACCCTAAACCCGAAACCCTAAACCCTAAGCTAAGCCCTAAACACTTCCATCAAAGTACCTCTCAGCTCCAACTCTGGTGCCTCACTCCGCAGGCCAAAGAAGACCTGCAGGCACCAGTAGACCTGAGAGGTACAGGTTTTGGGTTTAGGGTTTAGGGTTTAGGGTTTAGGGTTTAGGGTTTAGGGTTTACGTAGGGTTTAGGGTCGATGCTTTAGGTTTAGAGCTTAGGGTCGGTAGGTTTAGGGAGTAGGGTTCAGGGAACTTAGGCTCGGGCTTCGCGAGGAATCAGGGTTCTTTATTGGTACCAGTGTTTTCGATGGCGAAGGCGATGATGATGACAAGTCACAAGTATATCCCCAAACCCTAAGCCCTAAGCCCTAAGCCCTAAGCCCTAAACCCTAAACCCTAAACCCTCACGCTACTAAGCACGGGCTATTGATGTTCGTATTGTTGCCATGGGCAAACTATGCTTTATGGCGGTTTTTTTCTAAGCAAGTTTCGTGTTGCTATCCCTCTTGCTCTTGTGCTTGTTACATGTGTTTCTTACTATTGTTATTATGAATGTTCTTCTTCTTATTCTTCTTCTTATGATTACTATTGTGACATATGTTCTTGCTGCTGCTGCTGCTGCTGCTGCTGCTGCTGCTGCTGCTGCTGCTGCTGCTGCTGCTGCTGCTGTCGTCTTTGTCGTGGCTGTTGGTGCTGTTTCTGTTGCTGGTTCTGCTGCGGTTTCTGTTGCTGTTGCTGTCTCTGTTGCGACTGTTGCTATTGTTCGTGGTATTGTCATTGTTGCTTTTGCTGCTGGTTCTATTGGTGTTCTTGTTATGGTCCCTATTCCTATCGTTCTTGCTACGGTTGCTATGTTGATTCCGGTTACTACGACTTCCCTATTATGGTTATGGCGACTACTATCTTTGCTTTGACTATGACCGTTGTTGGGGTTGAGAGTTTGGGGTTTCAAGGTTTATCGTTTAGGCGTCAGGCTTGCGATATGGGATGCAGGGTGCTATCTGAGCACAGCACTAAAGGGATGCGTATCCAGTTCAGGCTGCGTCGAAATTCGGGATGTGTGGCTTGTTGTCGGGGAGAGACTAGAAGCCGACAAAGCAGCTCAGCCCATGAAAACGCCAGACCTACAAAAACCCCCACCTGAACCCCAAAAGCTCAAATCCGACTCCCAAAACCCCCCAAAGCCTGAACCCCAAGCCCTGGCCACAGCCAATCCCCAAGCTCCCGAAGTTTAAGGTTGTTCGGGTTCAGGGCTTACCCTAAACCCTAAACCCTACACCCCAAACCCCAAACCCGAAGCCCCCCGCCCTCCCCTCGGCTGAGAAGGCCTGGGGGTCCTCTTCCAAGAGCTCCTCCTGCGGCCACGAGTTTAAGGTTTAGGGTTTAGGGTTTAGGGTTTAGGCTGTAGGGTTTAGGGTTCCACAACAACGACTGAACCTCATACACCCTACGGCCTCTTTATATAAGCCCGCAACCCTCCACAAACAGCCCCAAGCCCCTAGGAGGTGTAAACCCTGAACCCCCCATAAACCACGAAACGGGGTGCGTGCCAGGGCTTACATTCCTAAACCCTAAACCCTAAACCCTCAACCCCAAAGCCTGTCCTCAGTGCGGAGGTCTGCGAGGTGCCTGTCCTGGATGCGCCGCAGGCACTCCTCCGAAAGCGCAGCCGGACTTCTCCCGGGTTTGGCTCTAGGGTTCAGGATTCAGGGTTCAGGGTTCAGGGTTTAGGGTTTAGGGTTTAGGGGCTCAGCATCTCAAGTTCAAGCATTCACTAGTCAAGCTCGCTACTTTGGTATCGAAGATCTACCCACCCACCATTTGGATCCCACAACATAGGAAAATATCATAGTTTCATTTATCAAAAGAGCGTAGTTGTCGACCCCACAACATGGGAAAATATCATAGTTTCACTTATCAAAAGAACGGAGTTCTCGACCTTAATCTGTCTCGGGACAAATAATCGTCTAAAACATACCAGAACCGATAAACATTCGCCTTGTGGCAGGGCATCCCAAACCAGACAGCCCTGCTGGGCGTGGGAGGGGCGGGGAGTGGTGGGAGGGGGGGAGGGGACAGGCACATGCCGGCAAAAATGGAAACGAGGCAAAAATGCCCACCAACCAGGCAAATGCCCACGAACCAGGCAAAAATAAGGCAAAAATGCTCACGAACAGGTAATGCCCACGAACCAGGCAAAAAACGATGCAAAAATGCCCACGAACCAGTCAAAAACGAGGCAAAATTGTCCGCGGGAGGCAATTGTCTGAAATTTTGCCGCCCACTGGGGTCATTAAGGTTTAAGTACATAAGGAAAGAGAAGGTTTAGGGTTTAGGCTTCAGGGCTTATTGCTTAGGATTTAGGATTTAGGGTTTAGGGTTCAGGGTTCAGGGTTTAGGATTTAGGGTTCAGGGTTCAGCGTTTAGGCTTCAGGGCTTAGGGTTCAGGGTTCAGGTAGGGTTCAGGGTTTAGGATTTAGGGTTTAGGGTTCAGGATTTGAGGTTCAGGGTTCAGGGTTTAGGATGTAGGGTTTAGGGTTCAGGGTCCGGGTTTAGGGGAGGGGGCTTCTGGAGACTCCATGACCTCGTCATCAGGGCACACGCCTCTCAACCGGGATCCTTTCGGAGGTATTTCGCAACAGAACATCTTAGTTGTCCAGTACCTAGGGGGAACTAAAGGCGAACCTTTTTGGGTTAAAAAGGGATGATATTAATTACCCCCAAAAAAGGTCAAAGGTTACCTACTCTACTACTAAGACATACTGTTGGAAGAGACGGCCTCATCACAAACCCACTGGCTTCAAGAATCGAGACAAAACGGAAACGTAGGGTTTAGGGTTTAGGGTTTAGGGTTTAGGGTTTAGGGTTTAGGGTTTAGGGTTTAGGGTTTAGGGCTTAGGGTTGAGGTTAGGGTTTAGGGTTTAGGGTTTAGGGTTTAGGGTTTAGGGTTTAAAACGGAACATACTGTTGGGGTTCGTCTCTGATCTAGTGTTGTTAATCTAAACCCCAGCCTCACACATGTGGACTTTTGGTAGGGGCTGGTGTTCGCATGAACTGTTCAAGCTCCCAAGCGACTATGTGCTTTTAAGAGCTCCCCAAACAATACAGAAGAATGATCCCTGTATGGCCCTTATAAGGAAAGCTTTTGGTATTTTTGGGAAGGCCCTTAAGCTAACAGTAGTAAACTCCTGAACCATCAACTCATGCATTGGCACGTGTCATTGCTAAACAAAGCCTCATGCGAAAACTCCTGACCGCAGAGCCTCTAATTTCTGCACCATAAACATAAGCACGGAATGCACCGACACACTACGCTTGCGAAACCCTAACTATTCCTAAACCTTGAGACGTCCCCCCTTACAAACAGTCCGTAATAGGGGTTCTAGTACGGGGTACGATAATGACTATTAATTAAGGACTGTTAGTATAAGGGGGGGACATCCCGACCTAAACCCGAAACCCGAGACCCTAAACCCTAAACAAAAAATAACCTCTAGACCCTAAACCCTAAACCCTAAACCCTAAACCCTAAACCCTAAACATCCCTAAACCCTAAACCCTAAACCCTACACCCTAAACCCTAAACCCTAAGTTCCTCCAAGGTCAGAAGCTGGATCTGCCCCTGCGCATCCCCCTGCACGTTCAGGCTCAGCTCGCTGGTGCTGCGGTCGATGACCGCCTCGGGGGGGGATTGGGATTCTGGGGTTTGGGGATTTGGGGATTGGGGTTTGGGGTTTGGGGTTTGGGGTTTGGGGTTTAGGGTTTAGGGTTTAGGGTTTAGGGTTTAGGGTTTAGGGTTTAGGGTTTAGGGTTTAGGGTTTAGGGTTTAGGGTTTAGGGTTTAGGTCAGGGCTTTCGGGCTGACAACTTAAGGGTTTATGGCTGTTCCCCTGCCTCTAACCCTCCCCTGAGAGAAAGAAAGGGGGTAAAGGTCGAAGGTTGGGATGTTCCCCCTGTATACTAACAGTCCTTGCTGGAATTATAGTAACCCCCGATTAAAAGGACTGTGAGTAAAGAGGGCCCGTCCCAATTCGAAGGCACCAACATCCCCCCAAAAAAACGCCTAGGGAACTAAAGGTTAACCTTTGGGAGTATAAGGGGATTCTATTACCCCAAAAAGGTTAAAGGTTGCCTACTCTACTACTAAGCTAAAGCCCCTGTTTATCCGAAGCCCTAGACCCAGTCTTCAGTCCAGGCTGGGTGGCAAGCACTAGAGCTGTTGCTGCGCGATCATAAACTGAAGATTAGGATGTTCCCCCTTATACTAACAGTCCTTAATAGGGATTATAATGTGGCTTTTACTTTCATCCCTAGCTGAAGACATGTTATGCTTTTTGCCACCGATGCAGACAATCGTTGCTGCTTCAAGCATTCGAAGGTTCTGCCCGCGTCCAGCAGCAGGATTCGCTACCAGGCTGTCGCCATCATACTGTTGGATGGCTGAGAGAGGGCTGCTTGGTAGCCCAGTAACCAAGTTATGATAAGGGTACCCTGTTTGGGTTGGACCCTAAAGCCTACACCCTAAAACCCTTGCCTTTTTCAGGGGAACCTTGAACCAAAAGAAATGGTAAGGATACCGCTGGACTACCAAGTGGCTGGGTATCACCACCAGCTTCCACCTTGTCTGCAGAGAATCTGAGGCATGCAATTGCAGTCCGGTGCTGGGGAAATACCACAAGAAACTACCATCTGCTTAGGAGGCCCCAAAAATCATACTTAAAAGATCACGATCCCTATATTTCCCTTACGAGGAATGATTTTAATGTGTCTTGTTGTTGTTTTATTTTCATTTTTTTTGCCAGGGGGGGGTTCTTAAGCAAATACCTGGGAGATCAGGAGACAACTGGAAGAAGCTTGGCTTGGTCCAGTTTCTGCGGCTCCCAGAGCAGCTCGGCCCAACAAAAAGGCTTTTGTGCACAATGCTTGCTGGTGCTTCGTGGGGACTTAGTCGGGAATGGGAGAATGAGGTGCCCTATGTCCCCCCATACATATCCTTTAAGGGATTCTCTAGGATACCTAATTCCCCCATTCCCTACCAGTAACCCGGGGGGACTAACTGCCAGAATGCTCACGCCTGGGCAATAGACCTTGCCCGGTTCCGAGCTGCTCCGAGGGAAAAGCAAAAGCAAGCGCCGCAGTTGGCCACGTTTTGGACCTTGCTTCGGGTCCGAGTCCTGCATCGCATCGACGACTACTCTCCGGTCCCGAAAAGGCGCGACCCTCTGCGGGGAAGCGACTTCGCTGCGATCCTGAACTGCCGTGAGGCACGCCTGTAATCTCGAAACAAGGGCTCGTCATTCACATGTGTTAGCACCCAGCCTTTCTTTACAGCAGCACTGCCAGTGAAGCCGTTGCCAACCGCGGTGACTGTCAAGGGCCAGTTCTTCGAGAAGTGCAAGCACAAAGGTGCGGAGTTAAAGGAAACATCAATGTCAAAACCCTGACCTGGCGGCCGGAATCTCAACTTCAATTCATCAGAAGTCCCAGCCCGAGCTGCCCCAGCAAAGGAGTCCAAGGAGGACACTGAAGATGTTGGATCGAAGAAGGAGGACTGCGAGCCCACCGTCGTCATTGAAGAAGTAGGATCCACTGCTCGTTCCTGTCCGCTCTCCTCACAGTCCAAGGAAGCCTTGCTCCTGTTCCCTTGAAGATTCTCCGCGCCGACCTCCCCATCCAAGGACAAGGGCATTGTGGGCTCTGGGTCTGTTGGATCCACTTGCTCGTCACCTGCTGCACGTGCACCGCGTGTCTCATAGCCGGCTGAGAACGTCCCTTTTGGGGAGTCGGCAACGGTGACTTCGCCGAACTTATCCGGAGATGCCGCGTGGAAGCAACATGAGAACATGGCCAGTAAACGCAGCTCCCTGCCCAGAACGTGATTGAGCCAGCCTCCAAGAAGGCCGTTCAAGTATGATCACGACTCCAAAGCCCTAAGCCTTCAAGCGCAGGGCAAGGCTATATTGTGAGCACCTGACTCACCCGAAACTGCAAGGGATCCTACCCAGAAACCCTAAAGACACCAGCCATGCGGCTCTACCCAGCGCTTGCAATTTCGGGGTCCGGGGCCGGAGCTGCTACCCAACCTTCAAGAACTCAAACCAATCGAGGACTTCAGAAACAATGACTGGATGTCTCTACATCCGACTACCTGGAGGCTCAGGGTACCTACAGGAGCCCAAATATCTACAACTGTAGTGCGAGCCCAACTGCACGGCAGCCCCCCAAGTCTCCGCCAAGATGGTTCTACTTGGGTTCTAGGAACCCTTGAACCTCCAAGAAGGGCTTAACCCTAAATCCCAAACCCCAAAACCTCAACCCCAGACCCTAAACCCCAAACCCTTAACCCTAAACTCAAAACCCTAAACCCTACCCACAAAAATCCAAAGTCCTGCGAGCCAACCCCAGCCAAGGGCCCCGGCTCGAGGCAGGCGCTTGCGCAGGGTGAAAACCGGCTCCTGGCATTGTGGGCCCCAAACCCGAGAACCCACTTGAAGGTTCGTGGGTACTTTTAAGGTAGGGCTGCAACTAGGGTTGTTTCAGGTTATACCTGGCTCCAAGCTAGTATAACTTACTTAGAGTACTTTTCACCCCACTTCTCTAAGTACCCCTGAGCCTCGAAGAAAACCCTCTAAACCTCCCGTGGCGTTTAGGGCATCAGGAGCTTTGATCTGACCTTCAGCCGGCTATCAGCTTTGACCCCTGCTGTGCCCTTTTTTGGGGGGGCTTTGAGGTTCAGGGCTTTTTGTGGGGTTCGGCTGGCTTAGATAGGGCTTTATAGGGCTATAAGGGCGCAGTGCGAAAGGCCCATACTATGAAGCTATGCCGACAGGTCTTTGGTGGGTCGGGTGGTTTGGAGCACTTTTGAGTTCAAGCCTCGACTCTAGACGATGAAGCCCAGGTTCAATTGAGGGCTGAGGGTTGAGGGTGTACAATGGTGGGGGTTTAGATTGCATGTGCTGGTTCCACGAGAGCGACGGAAGCTTTAAGACGCTTCGGATACAAGACGGCCTTCAGGTGACAGTAGGCTACGGGATAACATCTACGACATGCGTACTGCTCGGAACATTCCGGGAATGATGAGGTTGATCAAGCTCATGGCGTGCGAAGGCTGGAAAATGAGTACTACACGTTGGTGATAGCAGCACGGCGCGCCTTCGGAGGAATGCCTAAACCCTAAACCCTAAACCCTAAACCCTAAACCCTAAACCCTAAACCCTAAACCCTAAACCCTAAACCCTAAACCCTAAACCCTAAACCCTAAACCCTAAACCCTAAGCGAACGGAAATTCATGTCATGCTACTGCATTGTGGGCTGCCGGGCTCCCATGAGGTCCAGACCAGAGTTTTTTTCGAGTCTGGACCAAACTAGGTCTGCAATGATGGTTTAGGGTTTAGGGTTTAGGCTTTAGGGCTTAGGGTATGCCACTCCAGTCCAGTAGCCAGCTCAGGATTCAGGGTCTAGTCTAGGTATTCGGAAGAGTACAGAGCTTGTGTTTGAGAGTCTGCGACACTGTGGGTTCAGGGCTGAGGGCCCTTAAGGGCCTAAACACCACTTTGCCACTTTGTGCTTTGAGAGTTGGGGCGCAGCTTGGGACCCTATACCCGAAACCCGAAACCCTATACCCTAAACCCTAAACCCTAAACCCGAAACCCGAAACCTGAAACCCTAAACCCTGAACCCTAAACTCTGGGGAGTTAGGGCGCACTTGCTTCCCAACATCCCTGACACAACAAACAGAAATCCGGGGTCCTGCCCTATCAGCTACGGACCATTGCTGGCACCCTAAGAATTCGACAACGAGTGGAGACCCAAGAGGAGTCCCTTTCCTACTGAGTGGAGGGTTTAGGGTTTAGGGTTTAGGGTTTAGGGTTTAGGGTTTCGGGTTTCGGGTTTTGGGTTTAGGGTTTAGGGTTTAGGGTCTAGGGTCTAGGGTTTAGGGTTTGTTAGGGTTTCGGCCTGCTCCGCCCCGCAGTGGTTGCAACGCACGCAGCAGTAGCTGAGCTCTTCCCTCCGACGTGTGCCTCGACTGGCTGGCTCTTAGTAGGGAATGGGGGCCCCACATAATCTTGTAAAGGGTAGATATATATATATATATATTCTATATATATATATATATTATATATATATATATATCATAGGACCCTGTATTATAAATCCCACACAGGGGATATATAGGGCCCCAGAAAATCCCTTAATTATATATAGGGCCCCTAGTTCCCTCGCTAAGGGGTCGATGACAAGAGCAAGGCGGCTGGTTCAACCCAAAGGGCCCCGCCGTGCGCGAAGCCCAAGACCCTTGAACCGGTTCCAGAGTGGATTTATATAGGCTTTGGCTTAAAGCTTTTAGGGCTTTTAGGGTTTTGGGGGTTTTAGGGGTTTGGGGGTTTTTGGGTTTGGGACTCCAGAAGGATACATCCGGGACAAGCACCCCAAACCCTGCAAGCTGTTGACAAAGAGGCCTGTAACCTTATGCTAAACCCTTACCCTAGACCCTAAACCCTAAACCCTAAACCCTAAACTCTCAGGGACCGCGGGGTTCAGAATGCCAAGCCCAGCAACCTGAAGCTGATGGATGCTAACCTTTTCTACTAGCACTCGGCGTCATCAAGGACGTGAGCACCTCCGGTACCCTACACGACAAGACCCTAACCCCCCCCCCCCCCGCCCCAAAGCCCTGAGGCCCCACCCAAATCCCTTAAACCCTAAATCCTAAACCCTAAACCCTAATCCCATACCCCTAAACCCCAAAAGCCCCAACATGTTTCGACCACGGGCGACCTGGGTCCCTAGCTGAGGATCATCGCTGCAAGGGCATCCCAGAAGGAGCCAAACCAGCCGCAACCGCAGCGCGTGCGGACCTGCGCTTTCTGGCTGGTGTTAGTAGGGAATGAGGGAATGAGGGCCCTGTGTAATCCCTTAAAGGGTGGATTTAGGGCCCTCATTCCCTCATTCCCTACAAAGAACCAGGGGGTTTTGGAGAGTTTGGTAGGGAACCGGTGCGATGACCTGCCCCCATTCTGCTGCTCCTTCACCCTAATCCTTCTCTCGAAACCTTTTCAAACCTCCGCGATTAGGGGCAAAGTCGAGGGGTTATAGGGCTTTCAGACGACAAACCCTGCGAATGCTCCCCAGGATTGTGGACAATATCTGCAAGTCACAAGCCCGCGCACCTCACGCAGGCCGTGCACACTGCCTGGTTTGGGGCTTATGAAGGACTTCAGGGTCTGGGGGTTTGAAGGCTTCTACGGTTTAGGGGTGAGATTTTTGGGTCGGTGCTATCTGCAGGCGGGGCCAAGTTACAACTAAATGCTTCTCTGCACAGGAACCCACATGCAAACACCCTGCCTCTAAGAAGCTGTACCGTAGATTTTCCAATGCTCAGCCGCGAGCCGTTGGCATCTTGTTGTGACTGGCAAGTTGCGAGGGTTTCGAATCTTCGGAGTCCACAAACCCTCTCCCCGAGCGAGTGAGCGAGCGAGTGAGTGCGTGGAAGACCTGGGGTGCTCTTCGGCCCACGGAAACCTTCCCTCCCGCCATCTCTGTCCCCTCGGCTAGCATCATTGGGGAGATCCAGCAGGAGTTCACGGATTGAGTTGGGGCCTGGGAAGACAGCTCACTTCTTCGGAAGAGAAGCTCTTCCCGGCTCTTCCCCTGTGATCTGTCGCAAAGGTACTAAGCTGAGGGCACTGGCTGGATCAGTGCTCTCTAGTCCTAGGGTTCCTCGTGCGAAGCTTTCCGATGCCTGTTGGGCTCTTGGGCATTTTGGAGGGGTTGGGCCAGGTAGCCCGCATCACATTAGACCAAGGGTACCTCTCCCCCTCATTTTCTGCTGGAGCCGGAACCTAACAAGGGAGCAAAGGGAAGGTTAAGGGGTTTAGGTTGGGATGTTCCCCCTTATACAAACAGTCCTTAGTAGGGATTATCATGGGGGACTGTAATCCCCACTAAGGACTGCTTGTATAAGGGGGGAACCCAAGGTTAAGGGAACTCAGGGTTTCGGGCTCCGTGACTTGCGGGACTTCTAGGGTTTGCAGAAGGGCTTAAGGTCTTAAGGCATGTCGGGCTTCCGCTTCAGCTGGAGGGGCTGTGTTTGGGGACCCCAAAAACGCCCCAAACAATATTAAAAAAGAGTCCACGCCCTTAAGCCCCGACACCTTCAAACCTTCAGCAGTACCTAGAGCTCCAAAGTCCTAAGTCCAAAAGCCGAGAGGAAAAACAAACAACAAACAACATCCTGGCATTCGCCCAGCTGGGCGCCCAGCAAGTGGCAGCAAGCTCGGCGTGAGGGGCTGTCGCTGGCGCCTGGGACGCTATCCGGTAATTGGTCACGGGTTTAGGGGTTAGGTCCGGTTCTCCAGATTTTTGGTTTGGGGTGGCGGGGGGGCGGGGAGCGGTTGGGGGGTGGGGGTTTGTGCTAAATGTTAGCCTCAGCACAGTTTACTGACAAACTAACGGGAATACTCTTCTCTCTGAAGCCCTAAACCCTAAAGCCTCCTTTTTGGGGAGATAGGGCCGAGGTCTGGGAGGACCCTGAAGGTAGTAGAACCCCGTCTATTGGCAGTTTAGGGTTTTAGGGTTTTGGGGTTGAGGAGTTTTGGAGTTTAGGGTTTAGAGGTTGGGGGTCGCTTTTTGGGATTTGGGTCGCTGGGGCCTCTTCCCCCATGGGTGCCGGCTGAAGCTCGCCCATGACCAGGTGCGCCAAGAAATGGGGCAAACGGGGCCGCAGATTCTCCTGTCGGATGAGGGTTGAAGGGTTGAGGGCATAGGGTTAGAGGGTTCTGGCTTGGCTTGAGGAGGTTAGGGAGTTGGGGTTTATGGCTTACAAGTGCTGGAGCCTGTGGATGCGGATGCAGGGACAGCAGCCCAATAGGCGAGAAGTTCCCGCTGCTCGCACTGTTTCGTTGCTTCAGGGTTGAGGCCTCTAAGTTTCTCTGAGTTCAGGATCATAGGGTTTGGAGGGCTCAGGGGCCCGGCCCTAAGCCCTGGAAGCTTCAAGCTTGACGTCAAAGAAAATTGCAAAGCGGCTCGGCTGCACTCACGGAGCCTTTCATGCTGCGGAAAGCCACTTAGGGCATGGGCTCAAAACAAAATATCAAATGTGGCCCTTGATTTCTGGTCGTGGATACTCTGAGGCATAGTAGGGCCCTGTAGGGTTACGGTTGAAGCTTCTCAAGCACAGCACGGCTCTAAACCCTAAACCCTAAACCCTAAGCCCTAAGCCCTAAGCCCTAAGCCCTAAACCCTAAATCCTAAACCCTAAACCCTAAACCCTAAACCCTAAACCCTAAACCCTAAACCCTAAACGCAGCGCTGTCCTGCTTCGCCTTCTGACTCAAAGCCGAGCCATCGATCCACGAAAAGTCTTTCGGGAAGTCGCCTGGCCCAGACAATGGATTCGGTTCTGGGTTTAGTGTTTAGGGTTCAGGGTTTAGGGTTTAGCGTTTTGGGGTTTAGGGTCCATCAACGTAGCCTGCGCACGCTTCAAATAGTAGCAGGTACCTCCCCCAGCCCCTTGCAATCGACTTTCTTAAGCGGACATTTCTGCAATTGCACTCGGATGCCTCCTAAGTTCCTGGGTGTGAACACTGACACCACGAGGGCCCACAAACCTAAACCCTAAACCCTGGTCCCTAAATCTTCCGCCTGGCGGCCTCTTGGTGATTTTTTTGCGCGGAAAATCGGCAGCCTCAACCCCCAAACTAAACGGAAAAAGGGAGTACGACTAGGGGGCCCTAGAAGCCAACCCTGAACCCTTCCTGCATCACTAAACCCTAAACCCTAAACCGCAAACCCTTAATCCTTGACCCTTAACCCTGAAACCTAAACCCTAAGCCCTAAACCCTAAACCCTGAAACCCTGAAACCCTAAACCCTACATCATCCCACATCCCAACTCCTGTCCCTTGCCTTGCTGGGCCAGTTCGCGAAGCTCCTGCAAACAGCTGGGTGAAGTTGGCGCTTGGCGGTTTCGGGCTCTTAGGTTGTAGGTTTCCGGGTTTAGGGTTCGGGGTTTAGAGGTTTAGGGTTTAGGGTTTAGGGTTTTGGGTTTAGGATTTAGGGTTTGGGGCTTGGGGCTTAGGGCTTGGGGTTTAGGGAACTTCTGGCGCTAGGGTCTAGGTAAGCCCTATCCGCGCCCAGGTCGCACGGCACCTTTTCTTTTCTCCATCGTAGATGCCCCATCAGAAAAGGAGCTGAAGCCTCAAAAGCCTAGAACCGGAACAGCCTCCCAGAGGCCCCCCCCAAGCCCCGCTGCGGTAGTTACTGGCAGGAGTGGCGACAGTGGGTTTTGAGCTCAGGGCTCTGGCATCTGGCACCAGCAGTGGCGAATGGCAGCAGACTGAGCTTGACACAGAAGCGCAACGCCACAGGATCGTTCTTGATGGCTGTGCAAGACCAACCGGTGTATATAAAATGTAAGATGAAACGGGGGGGCAGTGTGGAAGAAAGCGCTGGCGGAACCATCCTGCTCTTGGAGAGCGGCGGACTGTTGCATTGGCACAGTGTCGATCTGTGGAAGGATAAGGGCGCCCTCCTGCGAGAGCCGCGCAAGAGCAGAGCTCTGGGTACAGCATCGATGGAAAAGCCTGCAAGCTGCACCGACGGATCGCCGATACACATATACGAGCGTTTCTGGCCACAGCCCTTGAACGCCTAGAGCTTCCTTAAAAACCCTACAGACCCTCAAGTCAAGACCCTGCTTAAACCCCAAAACCCTTAAAGTTCTAAAGCCCCAAACCCTAAAAGCACCAAAACCCTAAAAGCCCCAAAACCCTAAACACCCCCCCAAACCCCTAAAACTCCCCAAAAACCCTAAACGCCCCCCAAAAACCCTAAATGCCGCAAAAAATCACTAAAAGCCCCCTTTAAAAACCCTGACCCCTAACCCCTAAACCTTAAGCACTAAACCCCAAACCCCAAGATCCTGCAGCTCCAGGAGTGCCGGCGGCATCGCCGCCGCAAAGAGCCGCGCGGCGCTCTCGGGCAGGTGCCGGGAGCCTCAGACGCTGCTGACTTGGCTGCACTCAGTAGGGTAGCCATAAATTAAACTTCTAGCTGCCTTAATAAGAAACCCAATAAGCCCCAAAAAGGTAAGGATCTAAAGTTAGAGTAGAGTACCACAAAGATGACTTTGCCGCTCAGGGCGTCTGCGGCTTGGGGTCTAGGGGTTTGGGGCTTTCCCTAACCTTAACCAAACCCTAAACCCTAAACCCTACACCCTGCACCCTAAACCCTGAACCCTAAACCCTGAACCCTAAACCCTATACCCTGAACCCTAAACCCTAAACCCTAAACCTAAAACCCTAAACCCTAAACCCTAAACCCTAAACCCTAAACCCTAAACCCTAAACCCTAAACCCTAAACCTTGGCCGGGCCGCTGAGCTCCTTCTCATCGGGGGTGCTGCGTACGCTGACGAACTGGCGGGCGGATCCAGCGAGCAAGGGAGGTGCCACACCCCGAATCATCAGCAATCCTTCCGCAATGAGCCCTAGATCCTGACACCCCCCGTGCAACCAAGCCATCAGGCCCTCTCCCTAAAAAAACAAGTGTGTTTGCCCTGCCTGTGTGTTTGTATGTCCGTATGTGTGTATGAGAGTGTATGTGCGTGTCTGCATGTGTGTGCATGTATGTGCGTATGTGCGTATGTGTGTGTGTGTGTGTCTATGTGTACATGTGTGTCTGTGTGTATGTCTATGTGTGCATGTGCTTGTCATAACAAAATACGTCAAGCATGTACAACTACACATGCATGTAAACGTATGAATTATAGAACAGCAAAAAACAGATCTCGACACCCGAAAGAAACCGTAAACCCTTATCACCCCTAAACCCTAAAACGGCGAAACGCAACGGAAGAAACCCGGCAAATTCATCGATAGGAAGCATACAATTCCCTTTTGGGGGATCCCTAGTGGTCCTAAGAAATCCCTAGTCAGACCCCGATCAAATATAAGCTGCCGCAGTGCTGGCCTCAGGAATCCGCAGTCGCAAGGACCTCCGTACAACGGGCCAAAGGGGTCTTGATGCCTTAATCTAGCCCCTAGGTACCCTAATGAGAACCCCGAGAAATGCCCCTATAAAACAGAACCCCTACTTAAACAGACCGCAACCCATATAAGCCAAAGGGTTCATAGGCGAACTGCACACTTCGGAGGTTTATCTTTCACTACCGTACTTTGGAGTAGACCCTGGAAAAAAGGGTGAAAACTTTTTAGGCTTAAGAAGCGATAAAAGGCACCAGAACCAAAAAGAGTATTAAAGTATAGTACTCCGAAACCCAGATTAAGTATCTCGGGCCTTCAGGATCGGGGTGTTTTTTTCCTAAGGCGCTTTAGCAAGTCTCGAGGGGCCTGGGGGAACGTAATACTGGGCAGGTGGGTGAGAGAAATGCCTCTCGACTTTGTGCTCTTTGCTTCCGCCGTCTAGACAGTATAAACCATTCTGGTTGTTCGTGACTTGACCACTTAACACTGCAACGCTGAGCCCTTGACCCCGGAAACTCATGAACATTGACGCAATTCTTCGCGAACCAGGGAACACAAAAGGTTGACTTGCAGCTTTCGCTTGCAATGATTCGGAAGTCCAAGAGATTGAAAGCTCAAGTGTGATCTACCTTATCAACCTGCAAACCTTGCTTGTCTTGAAGGCTACCTAAGAACCAAACAAGCCATAAAGGGTATACAAAAGGTACAGATGTTGGGCTCTTCGGGCAAAGCAACATAGGTCCTAACCCTGCTGAGGGCCAGGGGTTTGGATGCGACACTGACTTCTGTGTGTGTAGATATTTGAGGGGGTTACAGTAAACTCCAAAAAGTTGAAACATCCTTATCCCCGTACCTCAAAAGGCATACTAAAAGGAATCCCAACTCGAACCTTCCTTAAACCATGTTCCAACTCTAGGGTTTAGGGTTTAGGGGTTAGGGTTTAGGGTTTCTGGAGTTTTCTGGAGTCAGAAGTGAGCCCGAAATCTGCAAGTTTCCTGGAGGGCTGTCGCCTCGGTAGCCCCACGCAGCCTTCGTCATCGCTGTCCTGACCAATGGAATATGCTTGAGGCATGTCAGGCTTAGGTTTGAGGTTTAAGGTTTGGGGTGTAGGGTTTAGGGTTTAGGGTTTAGGGTTTGGGCTAGGGGGGCTTAGGGTTTAGGGCTCCGCAAGCCCTGAGACCTTAAGGGGTTTCAGCGTTAAATTGAAAAGGGTGAGTTTGAGGCAATTCGAAGGCACGAAAAGGAGGTGGGTTCATTAAGGTCCCTAGGCTCTGGGCACACACGAAGTAGTGACTCGTGCAGGCGCGCCGACATTGCTTTGCAAGATGCAGGGACAAGCCGAACTCACACAACCCACACTTGCCTGCTGGAGAAGCAAACTGCACAGGCACGTCTACTAACCCCAAAAAATCGAGCGACTGACGCAGCCACACGAGGACCAATGCACAAGGATCTCAGCTAGTCTTTCAGTCGCAAGCTGGTAGGGTTTAGGGTTTAGGGTTTAGGGTTTAAGGTTTAGGGTTTAGGGTTTAGGGTTTAGGGTTTAGGGTTTAGGGTTTAGGGTTTAGGGTTTAGGGTTTAGGGTTTAGGGTTTAGGGTTTAGGGTTTAGGTCGCTCCAAGAACCTGTTCCATGGACCCAAGTCATCGCTCAGAAAAAGCCCGGTCTAGGTGTGTAAGGGTTTCAGGGCTCAGGGGCTTTTGGGTTCCCAGGCTTAAGGAGGTTCTAAGGGTTTAGGGGCCTTAGGGTTTAGGGTTTAGGGTTTAGGGGCCATAAGGGGCTCAGGGGTTTGGGGCAGAATGCTACGGCGACTGCAACTCCAATGACACGCCAACTGACGCTGCCCATGACTTTCGTGCGCCTTGAGATGAGGGCGTGCCAGATTTCAGGGTGTAGAGTGTTAAGGCCCTAAACCCTAAACCCTAAACCCTAAACCCTAAACCCCAAACCCCAAACCGAAAAACCCGATAAACGTTAAGGAACGGGAGTTTTGGGATGTCGGGTGTCCTCCGGGCTGCCCGGGCTTGCAGCAGCAACCTCCGCTCGTCATGATGCCCCCCCCCCCCCCCCTAAACCCTAAACCCTAAACCCTAAACCCTAAACCCTAAACCCTAAACCCTAAACCCTAAACCCTAAGCCCCTCAACCTCAATTATTCAAAAGCCCTGAAGTCCCTGAGCATGTCAAAAACCTAAAGCCCTCAGCCCTGAAGCCCTAAGCACGTAAGCTCTTAAGCCCTAGCCCTAAAAGCATATCAAAAACCTAAAGCCCTAAGCCCTGAAGCCCTAAGCACTTAAGCCCTTTAGCACTAAAGCCCTGGGATTAGATTAGTGGGGCTTCAGCGGCTTCAAAACATCTGGAGGCAAAGGAGTCTTCAGAAGCCGAAGCCTTGAAGCCCTGAAAGCCAAAACCCTAACTGCTGAAGGCACTTTTCCTGCTACCAGTGCAGTGCACAATAGGATCCTTCAGGGAGGGGATTCATGGGGGGGTAGGTACCTAGGGCATGTTGGGGAAGCTTAGGGAGCCTTAGGGAGTAGCAGGGAGTCTTCGGGAACCTTGGGTTACTTGCCCACCTCGAACCCCCCCTCCCTTCAGGACAGAAACTCACGAAGTTCCTCCGTGCACCATGAACTGACAAGTCTTGCATCTACTTGTTGCATACATTGTAAAGATCACACGTAGAACAAATCCTGGGATTGATGGCCCTTTCAGCCTTCTCCTTTGTGATTCGGAAATCATCCGACCGCAACATGGGGAAAACCCATCCTGGTTGAATCTGCCTAACCTGCCTTGAACACACTTCTTGTACATGTATATACGTGCTATTGTATATTCATATGTTTCATTTTACGAAACATATATGTGTATATGTATGTAGCGGCAATGTAGCGTATACGTACTTTATATATACATATATATACAAATAAATAAATATATATATATATATATATATATATAACATGTATGTGCATAAACTGAACCAGCAATCGTCTGGACTAAAACCCTGTAGCCGACGACCCTCAGAGCGGAGGGGGAGACCTGGAGGTAGAGCCTTGAACCCAAAAACAGCAGGTCCCAAGAATCCTGACACTAAACCCTAAACCCTGAACCCTAAACCCTAAAGCCCAAACCCCAAGCCCCAAACCCCAAACCCGAAACCCTAAACCCTAACAACCGCCCCCCCCCCCCCCCCCCCTTCAGACTTTCAGAGGCCTCCTCCGCCAACTCTGCCAGGCGCAGGCTGCCCACGGGCTCGAAGCGCGAGCGCTTCGGCCTGGCAAAGGAGGCGTTTAGGGTTTAGGGTTTAGGGTTTAGGGTTTTAGGGTTTAGGGTTTAGGGTTTAGGGTTTAGGGTTTAGGGTTAGGGTCTAGGGTCTAGGGTCTAGGGTCTAGGGTCTAGGGTTTAGGGTTTAGGGTTTAGGCTTTAGGGTTTAGGGTTTAGGGTCAGGGTTCAGGGTTGGGTGAGGGTTGAGGGTTGAGGGTTGAGGGTTTGAGGGTTGAGGGTTGAGGGTTGAGGGTTGAGGGTTGAGGGTTGAGGGTTGAGGGTTGAGGGTTGAGGGTTGAGGGTTGAGGGTTGAGGGTTGAGGGTTTAGGGTTTAGGGTTTAGGGTTTAGGGTTTAGGGGGGGGCTTTGGAGGAGTAGAGGCTTACGGTTCAGGGATATGGGGGTTTGCGAATTAGTGGTGCCCTTTTTGGGGGAGTCCCTTCAAGGGGATTCTATTCTATTTGGGGTATAAAAGGGGTACCCCTATGATTTTGGAAAACCCCCATAGATCGTCCCGCATCTCACGGAAGAAGTCTTCCACCCCAAGCCCAAAGCCGGCTGATGATTGGCTCTTCAAGGTACAGCTAAGGGTTTAGGGTTTAGGGTTTAGGGTTTAGGGTTTAGGGTTTAGGGTTTGGGGTTTGGGGTTTGGGGTTTGGGGTTTGGGGTTTGGGGTTTGGGCTTTAGGGTTTAGGGTTTCGGGAGGCTTGCGGGATGTCTCAAACTTGGTAGGGCTTAAGCTCTGAGCCATCCAGCTTGCTACAAGGGGTTCCGACAGCTCCACAACTTTGAGGCTCGCCACACCCCAAGCCCTAAGCCTGGCGAAGAGGCCTCATCGTGCCACAGTCAGCAAGCCGAAAAAAGAAAGTTCGATTCCATTGCAAGGGTTTCAGACTTGGGGCATTAGGTAAGGCCCGGGGTTAAACCCTAAACCCTAACCCTAAACCCTAAACCCTGGTTTCGGGTTTAGTGGATTTTGGCCTTATAGGGATGAATTGGGGTCCCGGGTTTGTGCTAGCCGACGAGTAGGGGTAAGCAACCAGAGAAACGCCTTCTTTCTGAAAGTTGGAATGCTTTCCAACTTTTGCTTGGAGAGTTGCCATCAGAAATGAAGCCACAAGCCCTTACAGCAACTCTCCAAAGACACCTACAGGAAAATGGGGTTTGCAGCCCTAAACCCTAAAGCCTAAACCCTAAACCCTAATTAAAGCCTAAACCCTAAACCCTAAACCCTAAACCCTAAACCGTTTCAAGTTTATAGGGCCCCCAGCCACTGTTGCCGGGCCTCATGGAGAAGAGCCGCTGCTGGAGAAGCTTTCGCACCGGTGTCTGCCTTTTCAGTAGCCGCCCCAAAGAGCTTTCTTAAGGAGTACTTCTTAAGTTTAGGGTTTTAGGGTTTAGGGTTTGAAGGTTTAGGGTTTAGGGTTAGGCCAAAAACTACCCGAAGCGAAGGTGTTCCACGGCTTCTTGCTCAACGATGAACCTGTTTCGCGTCGCGTGCTACCAACATACCGATGATAATGATGATGATACACATACGAGGTGTATCATAGCATAGCAACCCAAGCTGCCCGGAGCCATCCTGACCCACTAAATCGTCTAGACCCTCTAAAGAGCTGGCGCCCCTAAGGCAATGACCCTGAAGCCGAAACCCTCCGAACCAAATGACCCCTCAACCCTCAACCCCGTTCTACATCTAGAGCCGAATAGGGTTTAGGGTTTAGGGTTTAGGGTTTAGGGTTTAGGGTTTAGGGTTTAGGGTTTAGGGTTTGGGGTTTGGGGTTTGGGGTTAGGGTTTAGGGTTTAGGGTTTAGGGTTTAGGGTTTAGGGTTTAGGGTTTAGGGTTTAGGGTTTAGGGTTTAGGGTTTAGGGTTTATGAACCCAAAATCCCTAAACCACTGAAACCTCGCAGCCCCTAGACCAGCTCCACCTTTGGGGGCTTCGGGGTGGGTTTTCACGGTTCGGTCTTGCAGGCTTTAGCATTCACGCAACTTCGGGTTTAGGGTTTAGGGTTTAGGTTTAGGGTTTAGGGCTTAGGGTTTAGGGTTTAGGGCTTAGGGTTTAGGGTTCATTTAGGGTTTAGGGTTTATAGGCCTTATAAGGGGTTCGGGTTTTAGGTGCACAGCGCAGAGGCATTGGGTTCAGGGTTCCCTCACATCTGAGGCTGCGACGGCTGCAGGTCGCACGATGGCAGCGGGGCAGCTTCATTCCTGACTTTGAACCCTCATCACCCTAAACCCTAAACCCTAAACCCTAAACCCTAAACCCTAAACCCTAAACCCTAACCCTAAACCCTAAACCTTTATAAACCCTAAGTTTCGGTCTCAGTGCTCAGCAGGGCTTAGATCTGGGGCCTTGTGGGAGCCCCTCTTTCAGAATGAACAAGGCCCTCGGAAAGCAGCCTGCTGAATAACACGCATGGTCACTCGCCACGGCTACAGCGGGGGGTTGTCGACATCTTGAGGACATGGTGCTCAGACCCCTGGTGGCCACTAAGATAGCCCCTGATTGCGTGCCAAGACTCATGCAAACCAAGCGTGGAGGCTCGTATAAGCCTTGGCGAAGGAATCAACGAACACTGGAAACGTACTATGACCGTTAACGGCTTGGCTGCGTCTGGCAAAATTAGTTCCACAAGCCGGAGACATGGCGGCTGGTATCCTTAGTATAGTACAGCCAACCCTAAACCCTAAACCCTAAACCCTAAACCCTAAACCCTAAACCCTAAACCCTAAACCCTAAACCCTAAACCCCAGCCCCCAGGTGCCCAGAAAGGAAGCCACACATGAGGCATCGAATGCTTCCATGCAGCGAGTGATCCAGTCCCGCAGAGTTTCCACGAAAGGCTTGCGACCTTGGCTCGCATGGGTTTAGGGTTTAGGGTTTAGGGGTTTAGGGGTTTAGGGGTTTAGGGGTTTAGGGGTTTAGGGGTTTAGGGGTTTAGGGGTTTAGGGGTTTAGGGTTTAGGGTTTAGGGTGTACTGGCTTTGTGGCGTGTGCCTTGGCGGACCTTGCTGTCAAGGAACTGCTTATTGTTTCAAGTCGTGCTGCCGGCCACAGGTGTCACACAGTTGCCACTTGCAGCGCCGGGAGGGTTCTCAAACCTAACGTAGCAGGGAGTAGTTGATTTTACCCGTAGGACATCACACAAGTCCACCCATCTCCCTCCCCCGGCCGTGATGCAGAGTTTGAGGAGAGCCAGCATTGAACCCCTTGGGTTTGGGGTCTATAGGTTCTAGAGGCTCTAGCTCTTTTTTACCTGTTCAGAGCCTAGAGTCTCTAGAGTTTTGGGGTTTGGGGGTCGACTCCCCAAACTGCCTTCAGCCCAGAGAAGTGGGGTATCTTGAGGCGGGCGCTGTCTGGCGGCTCCTGGGACCAGAACCGAAAGAGGCCTCAGAGGCGGCGGGGAGCGGGCACGGCATGGCTCCTCACTTTGGTTTAGGGTTTAGGGTTTAGGGTTTAGGGTTTAGGGTTTAGGGTTTAGGGTTTAGGGCTTAGGGCTTAGGGCTTAGGGCTTAGGGCTTAGGGCTTAGGGCTTAGGGCTTAGGGCTTAGGGCTTAGGGCTTAGGATCTGTAACTCTGAACCGGGAACAGGGTGTCTGCAGCTTGAGGGCAGTGCCTCTCATATCCCACGAAGGGATGAGAGGGTTTGGGGTTTAGGGTTCTGAGGGCCTCAGCCCAAGTTGAAGCCACCTAGCTACGTTCAAGCTGGGACATGCACTCTCAAAGCACTGTCACGGAAGGTGCGGTTAAGGCTAGAAACTGAAAGGGGTCGCTTCTGGGTGGCTGGACAACCGTAGACAGCGCCGGCTGGGGAGGAGATAGCGTAAACCCTAAACCCTAAATCCTAAATCGATGGCTAGTCATACAATCCTGACCTGCTATCTGCTGAAGAACCCCTCCAAGAAAGAAGATACTTCCTGACAAGGGCAATGTTTAGGGATTCTTATCTGTTGAGATTTTGTCGGGGTTCTTAAGCAAAAAAAGTGACTGAGCCATGCGCCCACAGCCTGATCGAAGAGCTGCCTCCTGGCTCTGCATGACACTTCCAGCTGGGCGGCTGTCAAAATTCTGATCCCTTTTGGGGTACCCTAAATGTTAGGTGCCGCATTATGATAGGGACCCTTACATATTAGGTGCCGTATTAAACTAGGGGCCCAAAATGGGACCATAATTTTGACAACCACCCAGCTTAAGGTTGCCTGGGGTTCGGCGAGTAGGGCGTGGGAGTCTGAGGCTCGAAGCAACAAGGGTTGGGATGTTCCCATTTATACTAACAAGTCCTTAATTAAGGGTTTAGGGTCTAGGGTCTAGGGTTTAGGGTTTAGGATTTAGGGTTAGGGTTTAGCGTTATACTAACAAGTCCTTAATTAAGGACTGCTCTTCGTTGTCCAGTACCTAGGGGAACTACAGGTAAACCTTTTGGATTATAAGGGGATTCTATTACCCCGAAAAGGTTGAAGGAAACCCCTAGACTCTAGACCCATTTAAAGCTCTACACCTCATAAACCCTAAGGCCAATAAACCTTAAACCCCAAAGACCCTATACCCTCTAAACCCTCAATCCCTAAACCCTCCCCGTAACCCCCTAAACTCCTTGAACCCCGTTAACCCCCTAGCCCTAAACCCTAAACCCCAGAATCCAAAAGAGGCGAGAGCCACCAACCCCTAAACCTCATAAACCCTACAAAGCATGCAGACCTTGAACCCTAAACCCTAAACCCTGAACCCTGAACCCTAAACCCTAAACCCTAAACCCTAAACCTCCGACGAGAGCCACCCCAAGGGCTCCTGGGGCTGCTCGCAGGCAAGGCCACGAAGCGCTCCCAGGCGTTGGTGCGGGCCAAGTCCTGGAGGGTTTAGGGTTTAGGGTTTAGGGTTTAGGGTTTAGGGTTTAAAGGTTTAAAGGTTTAAAGGTTTAAAGGGTTTAGGGTTTAGGGTTTAGGGTTTAGGGATTAGGGTTTAGGGTTTGGGGGTTCAGGGGTTTAGGGTTTAGGGTTCAGGGCTTAGGGTTTAGGGTTTAGGGTTTAGAGTTTAGGCTTCGGGGTGCAGTGCCTGGGCTAAGAGGCGTTTAGGGTTTGGCGGGTTGAAGCGTGTTTAACAGCGTGGGACCTTGAAAGGATCAGGAGGAACTTGCTAGGCGATCAAAGCTCCAGACGACGAACGCTTGCAAGTTGATATACTCTCCAGGGAATCACGCAGTCACAAAGAATGCCAATCTAGGTACGTACTCTATGAGACGAAAGATCGAAGAGCACCAATAAGGGTTAGGGCCGCATGTGGCCAGACAGGAGGGGCCGTTGAGGGTCTATGGCTTGGGAGGGGGACCCTTCAGTCGCTGCGCCCTCAACCGCAAACATACCTCCAGCCAAACGAAAAAAACATCCTAACATCAACGCCTGCCTAAACCCTAAACACTCATCCCTAAACCCGATATCCCTCAACCCTAAACACTAAACCCTAAGCCCTAAACCCTAAACCCTAAGCCCTATACCCTATATCCCTAAACCCTTAACCCTAAACCATGAAAATCCTAAACGGAGGATCCCAAACACCTGTGACGACTCCAAATGCCCCGAACATGCCGAGACTTTCGGTGAATTTGCCTCCAAGTCCTGTCTTCTCCCTATGCTCCCTTTGAGAACCATAATTTAGAATTTTCCCCTTATACTAACAGTCCTTCATAGGGATGATAGTAGGGTACTAGAATTCAGGACTGTTCGTATAAGGCGGGAACATCCCAAACCATAATTGAGAAGATCGTTCAGAATCGTCCCTGGGTTTGATGATAGAAGCAACAAATACCGAGGGCTCGATGTAAAGCACAACACCTTCAGAGATATTCTACGACGCACAATTTCCACGACCACTCGCCCACCCTAAACCCTAAACCCTAAACCCTAAACCCTAAACCCTAAACCCTAAACCTTGAACCCCCTGCTGCCTCTAACAAGGCACTGGTTGCCTTGTCCTGCAGAGGGGAGGTGGGGCAAGGGTGTTTTGGGGGAGGCGGGGGAGTATATAGGGGGTGGGAGTTGATAACCCTGAACCCTAACCTGAACCCTGAACCCTAAACCCTAGACCCTAGACCCTAAACCCTAAACCCTAAACCTAAACCCTACATGCAAGTGCAGCCGCCTAGGGAGTTTGTTGTCTAGGGTTTGGGGGTTTAGGGGGCTTCGCGGTTGGGGGGTGTAGATTTGGGGAGGGGGGAGGGGTGGGAGTGGTTGAGGATACAGGGCTATTTCGGCCTCAAGGTTCAGAGCCAAGCCTTGGGGGAGCAGGGGGGGATGCAATCGTTTGGGTTTGGGGTCGCAATGCCGGCAAGGCACGAATCAAAACCCAAGCCCCAAACCTTAAGACCAAGGCAGCGGCGTGGCATTTCAGCCCTAGACTCTGAACCCCGAACCCTACATTCTAGGTCATCAGGGGGCTGGGCTGAGAGCCTCAAAACCCTCGCACCAGGAACGTCTTTCAAAGGTTCATGTTGGGGGCTTCGAGGTTTCGAATGTAAAGCCTCAGACATAGCACTTTGTGGCCTGAGGCTTGATGATTCAAGGGTTGGGATCCATGCGCGTAAGCGCCTTGCCTTAAGCTAACAGTTGGGGATTATAGTGCCCCCCTACTTTACTCCCTATGAAGGATTGCGAGTATAATTAAGGGGGAACATCCCAAAGTCGGACTGAAATTCTGGTCCCCAGTGCTTACAGCGACTGGAAGATCTTGTCGTTAAAGACGGCCCGCCTGACCCCCTCCCCAATATGTCGCGTGTGTCGCTACCTTATACCCTAACCCTGAACCCCAAATTCGTTTTGCTAAACAGGGTGGAGCACGGAGGGCTGTCTAACCCGGAACCCCCCATGAGGTACACTTGGAATATATGTGGTATACTAGACCCAAGAGCAACCGGAGTGAGGAGGGTGCTTATAAGGGAATCTAAACCCCAACAATAGGGAATAAGGGCCTACTCTGGGTCGTAGGTATACTTGGTAGCCCAGGAACCATATCGTGATAAGGGCACCCCTTTTTTCGGTGGGTTACTTTATTTCGGGTGACCTTGAAACCAAAGAAAAAGGAAAAGGGTACCACTGTGCCACCAAATACATATAGGGGCCTCAATACTTAGAATAGGGTTTTGGGGGTATGCGGACCGAAGTCTGTGCGCTGAAGGTGAAACAGAGTGTTTTGTACACTCTCAAGAATATCATTCAAGACTCATACTTTAAAGGATGTGAAGAATGCGTTGTAAAGAAGCCTCAATAGCAACGAAAGAGTTGTGCCAGAACAGGGTTTGGGGGGGGGGGGTTATTCTAGTAGAATTACAAAGGGACCATAAGGGAATACTATTAGTACTTGTTCCGACCCTTATATAGGACCCTCCGTATATACGGGTGGCTGTCAAAATTATGATCCCTCTTTGGGTACCCTAAATATTCGAGGCCGTATTGTAATAGGGATCCAAAAAGGTACCATAATTTTGACAACCACCCACGGAACCTAGGTAGCCCCCCAAAGAACCCGTAAATAACCCCTGCGGTCCCTTATAAGGGTCCCTCCTGGTCCCTCCTTGAGTCCAGACCCCAAACCCCAAACCCCAAACCCTAAACCCTAAACCCCAAACCCCAAACCCTGAACCCTAAACCCTAAACCCCTGTGGTACACAGGTGGACATCTTTGGCGCAAATTTCGAACCCCAACGCCCAGCAGACCAGGCCTCGGGATCTTGGCTGGGAGGCCTGGGCTGCCGCGGTTTAGGGTTTAGGGTTTAGGGTTTAGGGTTTAGGGCAGCACTCAGCAACCCCCCGCAGGGAGCGCGGAGAAATTTGGGTGGGGGGGGGGGGGGGGGGGGGGGGGGGTAGGGTTTGAAGGCGCCTGTACAGTCCTGGGGGCCCTCTTACACCCCTAAATCCCTAAACCAGGTGATCTTCACCAACCCTGAATCAGGATGAAAGCCGCGGTTTGAGCACGGAAGAAGCTTAGAAGGCATAAGGTTCGGAATCCAAGGCCTAAGATTGGTACAGCTTTGGTCCCTGCTTCAAGAACGTGGCTTGCTTGCATATTGACTTGAAGGGCTCAGGGTACTGGAGCATCGGCACAACTAGGGTATTAGGGAAACGGGTCTAGGGTTTAGGATTGAGGGTTGAGGGTTGAGGGTTTACAGTTTAGGGTTGAGGGTTCATACACATGGGCATCCAATCCTTAAACGGTACACTGCGTCTTGCCAGCTTCGGTATCTCCAACGATAAGAGCCACACAAAAAAAAACCCTCGAAACTAAGCAAACCCTAAAAAAACCAAAGAACCCTAAACCCCAAACCCCAAACCCCAAACCCCAAACCCCAAACCCTGAACCCTAAACCCTAAATCCTAAACCCTAGACCCTAAACCCTAAACCCCTAAACTAAACCGACATCAAGGCGCGCTCTGTCCGAGATTGCCTCGCTCCTGTGGAGGAGCAAGATCATGGCCTTGGTCTAGGGGCGTTTTGGCGGGTTTAGGGTTTAGGGTTTAGGGTTTAGGGTCTAGGGCTAGGGTCTAGGGTCTATGGTTTAGGGTTTAGGGTTTAGGGTTGGGCGGTTTGGGTTTTTTGAGGCTTCAGGGCGCTTTTGGGGGCTTTCGGGGGGGCTTTTGGGCTTTTTGGTGGGTCTAGGGTGCTGAGGGCTTCAGGGCTTTGGGGCTTACAGTAGTGGGTCTATATGATCCTTAAACTGGGACCTTAAGCCCGTGTCGTACAAATGCAGCGCTTTGCAGCCGATCCTCGGTGCTGCCACTGCTTTCGCGTTGCTTGTAGGAAATGTAGGGTTCCAATTTGTTCTGTAGCTTTCAGGCTGCCCAACTACGTATTTTCAGAGCCAGCTCAGCGTCCCTCATGTACTCAGGAGTGACATGAAGTAGGGTATATATTTCTTGTACCCCCAAAAGGACACCCAGTATATACACTCACCAATATTGAAAAGGAACCTTATATGCACTCACCAAAAACAGAAATATATACCCTGCTTCATATGCAAGGATCCAGACGACCCTGCTGCTCTTGCAGCTACAAGGCTTGCAAAATAAGGATGCTTACTGGGCAAGCAGTGGCCGCCACGTGCAGTTCAAGCATGTCTCAAAAATTAAAAAGGATACTCATGGGAACTTCAAACAGGGCACCCCAACAACACAGCAAGAATATACAAGGGATTTTGAGGGCGCTGGTTGGTAAACTCCCTATAATATCCCTGCTGTATTCTTGGGGGTTCCCTGTTCAAGGGTTCCCATTGAAGTCTCTTTCAAGTTGATCAACTACGAACACCAAGCCCTGCGTCTCAACATGGGGCGGCCCGGCCTCCAAAAAGAGCGACGAAACCTGCCAGCAGTGACGAGAGCAACTACCTTGCATGCCGACTGCTGGCCCTACAGCCTCGATTTAGGGTTTAGGGTTTAGGGTTTAGGGTTTAGGGTCTAGGGTTTAGGGTTTGGGGTTTAGGGTTTATATCCTAAACCCTATGGCCGAAAGCACCACAAGCCCAAGACCCGATGCCCAAAGAGCTTGGGGTTTGAGTCTAGGGCCCAGGGGTCCTGATGAGATCCTCGAAAAGCCCCTAAATATTATCTTACACCCCCTTAACCCCTGCCTTCTGTCTGAAGCCGCGCTCTTGATCTTCACTCCAGACCTGTTTGGTTTAGAGGGTTTAGAGGGTTTAGAGGGTTTAGAGGGTTTAGAGGGTTTAGAGGGTTTAGAGGGTTTAGAGGGTTTAGAGGGTTTAGAGGGTTTAGAGGGTTTAGAGGGTTCAGGGGAAGGCAGCAAGATTCGGGCCAGTCGAGCCGGGCTGCGGCATCGGAACTTTAAGTTGAGTCACCAACAGGCGGGGCACATACCAAATTAGTCCTTCCTTCCCTTCATGTGGAGGCATGTTTCCAGTTCCTTAGGCCCTAGATCCTAAGCCCTTGACCCTAGAAGGTCTTTTAAAAATCCCCTGAGCCCCAACCTAAACCCTTAGCCCTAAGCCCTGAACCCTAAACCCTAAACCCCAGACCCTGTGCTCAGGATAGGAAATCAGGGCCGGAGGCTCGGGATGCTCTAAGGTTGAGAGCTGAAGGTTCTGGGTTTAGGACTGTGAGGATGAGGGGGTGTTGAGCTTAGGTTTGATTTAGGGTTTAGGGGGTTTAGGGGGTTTGGGGGGTTTAGGGGGTTTAGGGGGTTTAGGGGGTTAGGGGGTTTAGGGGGTTTAGGGGGTTTAGGGGGTTTAGGGGGTTTAGGGGGTTTAGGGGGTTTAGGGGGTTTAGGGGGTTTAGGGGGTTTAGGGGGTAACTTAGGGTAACTTAGGGGGTTTAGGGGGTTTAGGGTTTGGGTTAAGGGTTAAGGGTTAAGGGTTAAGGGTTAAGGGTTAAGGGTTAAGGGTTAAGGGTTAAGGGTTAAGGGTTAAGGGTTAAGGGTTGAGGGTTTAGGGTTTAGGGTTTAGGGTTTAGGGTTTAGGGTTTAGGGTTTAGGGTTTAGGGTTTAGGGTTTAGGGTTTAGGGTTTAGAGCTCCGGGGTTGGAGTGAGTCAGGGCTTCGGGCTGTAGGGGCTTGGGGCTTCAGGGGTTAGGCTTCTGGCTCAGGGTCAGTGTGTAGGGCTTCAACGGCTTGGGGGGCTTCCAGGCTTTCCTACTTAGGGTTTAGGGTTTAGGGTGTAGGGTGTAGGGTTTAGGGTTTAGGGTTTAAAGTTTCGGGCTTAGGGGGTAGGGTTTAGGGTAGTAGCTCAGACTTTCATTCCAGCAAAAGCTAGGCCAGCAAAAGCTAAGAAGAGCAGAGGTTTACGAAGCTTTGAGTTTTCAAATATGTCACCCTCGCCTCCGCAACTTCCCTTTTCAAAATGGGGACTTACGATAATAAGGGACCCCCAATATGACCACATAGTAGGACCCGTTATAAAAAGGACCCCAATAAAGTACCCCTAGTATCTCAAACCCCGAAATAGCAATCCTGAATCCTTGACTTGGCACTACATCCCCAGCTACCTTAGACAACCTGACTGCCCTGAGCTCAAGCCCGAAACCCTTACAAACCCCGAAGCGTCTAAACTGAGTCTAAACAAAGCTCTAAAACCCAAATCCCGAACTAAACCTAACCCTCACAGTTCTTACATCCCCAAATTCACAACTCCTAAATCCCAAAAATCCGCAGGCTTGAGAAAGCCCGCGAACCCTACTTTCCTGAGCCTCAACAGCCGAAACCCACTCAGCCCTCCACCCCTAAACCCTACACCCTAAACCTTATATCCAAAACCCTATATCCAAAACCCAATTCATGAGTCCCCCTAAACCCTAAGCCCTAAACCCTAAACCCTAAACCCTAAACCCCTAAACCCTAAACCCCGAATACCCGAAAAGGTACGACTTTGCGGCGGATGGCCGGCCCCAAAGAGCCGCTCAGCAGCCCAGAGCTGTGCAAGGACAGCGCGCCCTCGCCTCGGACTTGTTTCTGGGTGGTTTCATAGGGTCCTTAACGTTTAGGGTTTAGGGTTTAGGGTTTAGGGTTTAGGGTTTAGGGTTTAGGGTTTAGGGTTTAGGGTTTAGGGTTGAGGGTTGAGGGTTGAGGGTTGAGGGTTGAGGGTTGAGGGTTGAGGGTTGAGGGTTGAGGGTTGAGGGTTGAGGGTTGAGAGTTGAGAGTTGAGAGTTGAGGGTTGGGGGCTGGCGGGTAGGTTCCTAGGGAACATTAGGGAAGCTTAGGGAGTAGTTGTTAGGGAAGCCTTGAATGACATACCCCGCTTGAACCCCGCTACCTCAAGAACCATGTCAGGTTTCGAGGGCTTCGAGATTCGGGGTTTCATGCGCGAATAGGAATCCTGGGCTTCAGGGATAAATAGAAAGCCAGGGTTTTACTAGGGATTGATGATCCTAGGTTTGTTTGCTTGCACTCTTTTCTGAGGAAGTGAACGCGAAACGCAGTGGCCAGGCAGCACACAAAGCCAAGTCGACCGAGGGTTCTCCTAGACCCCAAACCCGAAACCGGGAATCCCTGGCCTTTGGGATTTTGGAGGTCTTGGTTTCGGTACCAGTACCGGGCTGCAAATTCGACTCCTCGACTAGAGCCTGCCACCCATTCTACATGATCAGTTCTCTACATTACTGGGTTTCGGGTCTAGAGTTTCAGTTTAGAAGGAGTGCGGCCCTTGCCGTTCTATGTGCGTGCTTCCCAAGATTACCCCAAAAAGCCGCAATCCCATGATACTTCTTGTAGGAACCCCAAAAAAAAGGCACCAGGAGGCGCCACATTGAGAGATCCCTCAGCGGGCCCATGCCCCTTGACGCATAATGCTTTGGCTTTAGAATCTAAGGCTGAGAACCTCGGGTCTACAGCTCGCTTAGTTGCTGAGTTCATAAGCCCCACAAAAAGTGTACCCCAAAAAGTGTAAAGCGTGCTCACTCAGCTACTAAGCTCAGGAAGTCGGGTGACAGATGAGTGAAAGTGTTGGATTCCCGGGTTGCGATTCGGCATTCAAATGCTTGGAGCCCCTACGCGAAGCAAAAGCACCATTGCCGCGCGAGGGAATGTGGCTCATGGTTTGGGCTTTAGGGCTTAGGGTTTGCGGTTCAGGGTTTAGGGCTCAGAGGGCTTAGGAATCTCGACCCTCAACCCTAACCCTAAACCCTAAACCCTAAACCCTAAACCCTAAGTTCCACATCCAGCAGCTCTCTTCAGCGCTGTCGCAGCTGGTGGAGCTCAGGCTCCGCCTTCTTGCGCGAAGAGTTGGAGGTGAGGAGGCGAACCGCGGAACACCAGGTTTAGGGTTTAGGGTTTAGGGTTTAGGGTTTAGGGTTTGGAGTTTGGAGTTTGGGGTTTGGGGTTTGGAGTTTGTGGGTTTAACCCCGAAAACCCCTCAACCCCCAACCCCCAGAAAGCCCAAAACCCTGAACCCAGAGCCCCCCAAAAGCACGCAATTCCGAGACATGCCAGGTCCTGAGACCCCAATGCCACAACCCTGAACCCCAAACCCTGCGCAGTGGGCCTATGCCGTCCCCGCGAGGAGGATGGCGACTCGGGCGCCTGCGACAGGGCGCCCTAGCATCCTCTAACTTGGTTGCACTTAGGAGGGTAGTCAAATTAAATGTTTAGCTGCATTGTTAAGAAATCCAAAAAACCCAAAAAGGCTAAGGATCTAAAGTTACAGCAAAGCACCACAAAGCTAAGGATGGGGTCGTGCTGTGGGCTGAGCGTTTGGATGGGTTTGGGTTGTGTCTATACTCCCCTTAGAACCTTAACAAAAGAAATGTATGTCATTCTCCTCTTGGGTTTTATATAAACAAAAGTTTAAAAAACAAAAAATCCCAAGGGAGAGATAGGTGTTGGGAGTAGCTTCAGCAGCTCAGTGGGATTTGTGCCGCCAACATGCTGCGCATCGCTGCAACGATCGCACTTAAACCCTGAACCGTAAACCCTAAACCCTAAACGATAAACCCTAAACCCTAAACCCTAAACCCTAAACCCTAAACCCTAAACCCTAAACCCTAAACCCTAAACCCTAAACCCTAAACCCTAAACCCTAAACCCTAAACCCTAAACCAAAACAGGCTGACTTGTTCCTGGTTTAATCGGCCTCAATTGAGTGTAATCTTAGTGGGTCAACCAGCCAGGGCCATGGAAGTGTATACTGTCTCTGGCCGTGAGGGAATTAGAGAGGTACGTTGGACCGTATGTTCCTTCAACTCTTTACTCTCTCGTCCTTCGCACAAAATAAACTGCGCCAGACTCGGACGCTCAAAAGGGAAAGCCCACATGAAACTGATGGATCCGCACTGATGGATCCTCCTGCACGAGGCAGGAGAAACCACAAACGACTTCAAGCCTGCACCTTCCATCCACGCTGAACTACAACACCCCAACAGACTTAGGCCACAACTCTGTTCCTCTAAATTACTACTGAGAATCTCGCGAACGATTGAACACACAAGGCAGTGACAACAAACCCTGAAGCTGGAGGCCTTCGTCTCGCTGGAAGGGTGCCGGGCTTTGCCGATTGCAAAGCGGACGGTATGAAACTTCTTCCAATAGTCCTGGGTGCGTGTAGCATCTCGGTGTTGGAGTTTAGGTTGGCCATTGCATGATAAAAAAAAACTCAGCTGATGCTCATGATGCGCGCGGGCCTGGCCATTGCATGCGCGACACGCTCGCTGATGCTCATGATGCGCGCGGGGCCTGGCCATTGCACACATGACCCGCCCGCTGATGCTCATGATGCGCGCGGGGCCAGGCCATTCCATGCAGGACACGCCCGCTGATGCTCATGATGCGTCCGGGGCCTGGCCATTGCATGAAGGACACACCCAGCTGATGCTCATGATGCGCGCGGGGCCTGGCCATTGCGTGAAGGACACACCCAGCTGATGCTCATGATGCGCGCGGGGCCTGGCCATTGCGGGACACACCCAGCTGATGCTCATGATGCGCGGGGGGCCTGGCCATTGCATGAAGAACACACCGAGCTGATGCTCATGATGCGCGCGGGGCCTGGCCATTGCGTGAAGCACACACCCAGCTGATGCTCATGATGCGCGCGGGGCCTGGCCATTGCTTGAAGCACACACCCAGCTGATGCTCATGATGAGTGCGGGGCCTGGCCATTGCATGAAGAACACACCGAGCTGATGCTCAGGATGCGCGCGGGGCCTGGCCATTGCGTGAAGCACACACCCAGCTGATGCTCATGATGAGCGCGGGGCCTGGCCATTGCGTGAAGCACACACCCAGCTGATGCTCATGATGAGCGCGGGGCCTGGCCATTGCATGAAGAACACACCGAGCTGATGCTCATGATGCGCGCGGGGCCTGGCCATTGCGTGAAGCACACACCCAGCTGATGCTCATGATGAGCGCGGGGCCTGGCCATTGCATGAAGAACACACCGAGCTGATGCTCATGATGCGCGGGGCCTGGCCATTGCGGGACACACCCAGCTGATGCTCATGATGCGCATGGGGCCTGGCCATTGCATGAAGAACACACCGAGCTGACTCTCCTTGAACTTGTTTAGGGAAAAAGGGCTTAGGGTCTATGAAATTTGTTGCGGCTAGCATCCACAACTTTCCAACAACATTCTGCGGCACGCCCCCCCTCCCCCCCCCCCGTGCTTTTCGTGAACCCTTAATGCGCTTCGGTACCGTTTAATTGCAGCGTATTGGCGTCTCTGGGCAGCCAGAATTTGAAAGATTTAGGCGCTTGCAATGTTTAGGGGTTTGGGGTTAGGGGTTCAGCGTCGAGCGCCTCAACCACAAACCCAAAACGCTAAAACCGTGCAACTCCCCAAAGCCTGCACACGAAAGGGTTTAGGGCTTAGGGTTTCAGGACTTTAGGGTTTAGGGTTTAGGGTTTAGGGTTTCGGGTTTAGGGCTTGGGCTTAAGGGTTTCTGGTTTAGGTTTGAAAGGCCCCAGGGAGCCATATCTTACGCTGTCCGACTCCTGGCACGCCTCTAAGCCCTGCAAACCCTCTGAAAACCCCATGAAACCCTAAAACCCTAAAACCCTAAAACCCTAAAACCCTAAAACCCTAAAACCCTAAAAGCCTAAAACCCTAAAACCCTAAAACCCTAAATCCTAAACCCATCGGAGTCCTTGTTGGGATCCCTTTGCTCCCATTGGTGCGCTGTTCGCAACCGTGCCATGCACTGCTCCAAGTACTTCGGGATGGTGGGCGTCTCCAGGCTGAGGGTTTAGGCTTTAGGGTTTAGGGTTTAGGGTCGAGGGTCTAGGGTCTTGGGTTTAGGGTTTAGGGTTAGGGTTTAGGATTTGGTGAATTTAGGGAATTTAGGGTTTCGGGTTTAGGGTTTAGGGTTTAGGGGTGAGTAAAACTAGATGAAGTACGCCTTAGTCCCCCGAATACCCTGTAGACACCCAAAACCCTAGACCCCAAAAGCCCCACCAAACAACTAAACTGTAAACTCTGAACCATAAACACCAAAACCACCCTAAACCCTAAACCCAAAAGCCAAACTCTAAACCCAGACCCCCAAACCAAACACACTAAGCCCTGAATCCCTGAACCCAGTGCCGAACTAAACCCAAACTTCGCAAGCGCAGTCTTGGGCTTCGGGGTTTGGGGGTTTGGGGGTTTAGGGTTTAGGGTTTGGGCTTCGGGGTTTTGGGGTTTTGAGGGGGCCCTAGTTTAGGGGTTCAAGGTTTAGGGGTGAAAGGAGGGTGTCAAGGTTTAGTGAAGGGATTCAAGAGCTTAAGCCCTAAACCCTAAACCCGAAACCCTAAACCCTACTTAGCATGAGTGCTTTGGAGCCTGCGGCTTGTCTGGGATGGTTCTCCCAGTGTCCAAGTCAAAAAGTACAACCTCGGCGCTTTCTTGGCGAGGCTTGGTACTGGAGTATAGGGTTTCAGGCTTAGGGCTTGAGGGAGTCTAAGGTTTTTCCGGGATTGCTTTGGGTTTGGAAAGGGTCTTTTCAATGGCCTCTCAAGGGTCCTTGGACGAGTTTGCAAGGGTCCATGGGGTTTCTGGAAGACAAGGCTAAATGATCATTGGTGTTGTTCTGCTTCTTGCGATTCCCCACTACGGGACCATGGCAGGTGGGCGGGGGGGACGAGGCCGGGTAGGACCCCATCTTGTCTTGTGGGCAATAGGCCACATGTGCATTTCAAACTGCTGAGTCGTCGTGTTGATACAGATTGGAAGCAGCACAAACGACTCCACAAATGAGTAGGCGGCAACCGCGCGCTCTTGGTTGTGCCGTTTCCTGTTTCGCAGTTTGAGCCACAATTGGTTTGCTTCCTGAAACTCCCTAAAACTCCCTGAACCCTAAACCGGATAAACCCTGTAAATTCAATAAACCCTGTAAACCCTATAAGCCCTGTAAACTTTTTTAACCTTCAAGCCCTACATCCCAGAAACCCCATAAACGCCCTAAAACCTAAACCCTAAACCCCAAAAAACAACCTGTTTAAACCCTAAAACAAACCGTACAAATCCCCCCAAAAAACCCTATAAACCCTTAAAAAACCCTATCAACCCCGACACAAACCACCAAAGTCCCTGCAAATCCCCAAAGACGAAAACCATGCAAACCCCCCCTCCAAAAAAAAAACTACAAACACACTCAGTCCTTATAAGCCCCCAAACCCAAACCCTCTAAACCCTAACCCTAAACCCTAAACCCCAACCCTAAACCCTAAACCCCAACCCCAAACCCTTAACCCCAAACCCTTAACCCCAAACCCTAAACCCTAAACCCCAAACCCTAAACCCTAAACCCAAACCCCTAAACCCTAAACCTCTAGCCCTAAACCCTAAACCCTAAACGCCACAAACCCTGAACCTCATGTCCCTTGCGGCTGCGGTGGCATCCTCCGGGAGCTCCGGAGCCGACACCCCGCCGGGCACGCCCATCCTCGGAGGGTTGGTGCTTCAGAGGATCTTTAAGGTTTAGGGTTTAGGGTTTAGGGTTTAGGGTTTAGGGTTTAGGGTTTAGGGTTTAGGGTTTAGGGTTTAGGGCGTCAGCGGGTTTATGGGGTTTGGGGGAAGATTTAGGGGGCTTAGGGGTGTTTGGGTTCAGGGCTTCAGAGGGTTTATGGCTTTAACGTTTAGGGCTTACCTCCCAGAATGTTCATTTGAAATATATACATACATATACATATATATATACATATATACATATATATATACATTTATATATATATGTATATATACATTTTTCTTACTTGACTCGGCACCTTCTACACGCGTGCTTCCAACAACTTACTCCGAGAGGCCTCCTTCATAAAGACTTGATTTAGTGTCTGTGCATGTGGGGTACCCCAGATTCGGGAAAATGTGACCGATTCCAGAAATAATTCGGCACAGATTTCGAAAAAAAACTGGCCCGCTCTCAAGAAAACAAAACCAACACGTTTCATGAAAGTCGCCTGTAGTGTTTGGGGTCTCCGAGGCCTTGCGAAGACAAGGGCTGCGAGAGTTTGAGGGCTGGGCTCTGGGGCTTTGCTGTGTTGCTAAACCCTAAACCCTAAACCCTAAACCCCAAAACCCCAAAGCCCTGAACCCTAAACCTGGGTCATGAAAACTCGCCGCTGACTGCCTGTGCATGCTGGTTGCGGCTCCGGGCTTGGTGCTTAGGGAACCCAAAACCCAATACCTAAAACCCTAAAACCCATAAAAACCCGAAACCCTAAAACCCTGAAACCCTAAAACCCTAAAACCCGAAAACCCCCAAAACCCCCAAAACCCCCAAAGCCCTGAAACCCCAAAACCCTAAAACCCTAAACCCTGAAACGCAAAAACCCCAAAAACCCTAAAACCCTGAAACCCTAAAACCCCAAAACCCTAAAACCCTAACACCCCTAAAATCCTAAAACCCTGAAAACCTAAAACCCTAAAACCCCAAAACCCTAAACCCTAAACCCTGAAACGAAAAAAAACCCCAAAACCCTAAAACCCTCTGGACACACTGTCTCTGCAGCACCAGGCGGCAGAAAGGGGGCCGGGCTCTCGAGAGTCCATCGCAGGCTCGCAGGCAGGATCGGAATGTAGGTGTGTTCCTGGGGGCTGATTGGTTCAGGGTTTAGGGTTTTTGAGTTTAGGGTTTACCGGGTTTAGGGTTTAGGGTTTAGGGTTTACCGGGTTTAGGGTTTAAGGTTTCGGGTTTAGGGTTTAGGGTTTAGGGCGGTGAAGGGGTCCTAGCCCACCCCCTCCCCAAAAGAATGGGAACTGCGGAACTACGGGGCCTGCAAAAACTCCCTGGATCCCTAAACCCTGACCCTGAAGCCCTGAGCCCTGAGCCCTGAGCCCTAAACCCTAAACCCTAAACCCTAAACCCTAAACCCTAAACCCTAAACCCTTACGCCGCGTCCAAGGGGCCCATTCAAAGGGGAAGATCAGCGCTCGAAGCACTTCAAGCACAGCTGCCAGCAAGGCGTGGCTGAGCTCCTTTGAGGTCAGCACCACCTGCGGTTTGGGGATTCGGGTTGAGGGTTGAGGGTGTAGAGTTTAGGGTTTAGGGTTTAGGGTTTAGGTTTTAGGGTTTAGGGTTTAGGGTTTAGGGTTTAGGGTTTAGGGTTTAGGGTTTAGGGTTTAGGGTTTAGGGTTTAGGGTAAACTCCCAAAAAGCTGGAACATCCAAATCCCCATACCCCACAAGGTATACTACTTAACGGGACTCCCACCTCGAACCATCCTTCAACCATGCTCCCAACCAAAACTACTCCAACTTTCTGGAGTTTACTGTAGTTCAGAGTGAGTTTAAAGGTTTGGTGATTTGGCGCAGGACCCTAAACCCTAAACCCTAAACCCCAAACCCTAGGAGCCGGACACAGAACACTTTTCAAACTCTTCTTCGCCAAAAACATGCGTCTGAGGGGAGGCCATATGAACCCATAGACCTTTTTGGGTTGCAGGGTACCATTTAAGGCCTGAAGCGTACTACTAATTGCCTTAAGGGCCCCCAAAAATGCAACTATTCTTCCTTATATTTCAGGGTTGTTAAGCAAGTATTCGCCGACAGAAATATATTCTTCCTGGTATTTCAGGGTTGTTAAGCAAATATGAGCTTACGGGCACTCTCCCGAAAGGGCCCGCCAAGCCCAGAACCATGAAGCTTGAGCTTACGATCATCACCCTACTCACACACCGCTGCTGGTCTAGACCCATAGTAGCAAAAAAGCGTGCACTACTGTGCTTGACCATGTCCGTTGATTTTACATGGCACCTGCCCCCTTCTGGAGACTACAGTGACGGTAGTGGTCCCGAAAGTCAGGGTTCAGGGAGCTGGTCTTGTGCGGTTGCTTCCCTCCTTTGCCAGGCGAGCGAGCATTCCGGGTCGGTAACTTAGCTGCTGAGTTCATAGGCCCCAACAATGTGCACACTTCCAGTTCTATAGGGGAGTATAGTATCCCAATAGGTGTAAAGTGTACTCATTCAGCTACTAAGGTAATTCTGGTAGCACCGAGGTCGTGGGATTAAGGTAGAGGAGCGCTCCCTCCACGTGGGCGGGCGAAGCCTTGAGTTTGGGGCTCAAAGCCTCCTGACGAACCTGAACCCTAAACCCTAAACCCTAAACTCTAAACCCTAAACCCTAAACCCTAATAAACAAACCCTTAAGCCGCTTCTGACCAGAGTCTTCTGCGACTTCGCCGCTGGTAAACCCGAGCCGTGAAGGACTGGAGCCCCGCTCTGCACTGTAAATCACCCCTAAACTTCTCAAAGTGCCCCTCAACCCTAAACCCTAAACCCGAAACCCTAAACCCTAAGCACCTACAACCCCTGAAGCCCTCAACAAAGAGGCTTGCACATTTTGGGGCTGTTGGGCTATATGGTATGCCTTGCGCTCCAGGAGCACTAAGACGAAGAGTTGGGCCAGCCTCACAACTTGAAGGGTTTAGGGTTTAGGGTTTAGGGTTTAGGGTTTAGGGTTTAGGGTTTAGGGTTTAGGGTTTAGGGTTTAGGGTTTAGGGTTTAGGGTTGCCCTACATGGTTCCAGGTGTAGATTTGTGCATGTGTGGCGGCTCTCAGAAACGGGTTCCGACCCAAACCACACGAAGCCCCCACCCTGCCAAGAAAAAGAAGCAAGTCCAGAAACTCTCATCTGCCTCGAGGTCCTGTAGGGAATACGTCGCCCGATTGTCATCACAATCCCGTTCATGGTTTGGGGCTTCAGGGGTTTGCACGCTGGGGCTTGGGTCCAGGAAACCCGCATCCAGGGCTTCTGAGGCAAAGGAAGTAGACCTCAACTCCCGAAGAAGATCCTCCCCGAGCTACATGAGCAAGTCCCCAAAAGATGGGGTGCCCCTCTTGTATACCCGAAAATACCTCATGCTGCGAAGTCGGAAACCTCAACATTCTAAACCCGAAGACCCAAGCAAGGCTACATCAAATCTTCGGAAGCCTCAGGCCTACAGCCTACAACTTTTGAGGTATAAGTACCCTAAACCCTACCAGGGGAGCCCTGGGTCGAGAATTTCTCAGAGTAAGCCTAAAAACCCAGATATTTCACCAAAAGCCAAACCATTGGTAAAAACCTAGAGATTCTGGAAAAATCTAGGAATTCACACACCTAGGTGTAAATGCAAACGTTCAGACTCTTTCCATCTCTTGCCGTCGCCTAATACAGCTCATGCCTCCAAACGGCGTGGCAACGTACCAAATACCGCCGAAGCGAGGCTGATATCACAGCACGAGTTCCGCCCTCCTCGTTGCACGGCTGATTCGCCCTACAAAATCCTCGTCCTGTCCTCACAGACAGGATTGAAACTGTATTGATGCAAAAAGCAAGCCCTGGAGTGCATGAAACACCATATGGTGCTTTGGGAACAATGCAAACCGTGGCACGGCAAGTTTTGCATCCAAAGTATTCTTGTTAGGGTGACGAAGGCCTGAGAAAATGAAGACCGAGCTGTGCAACTCTGGATGCCTGCTCTGACGGAAGCCACATGTCCGACGTGTAAAGTTCACTGAGGGCGGAATTCAAAGCCGTGGCGGGCGGGTTCATCTCCCAAAGAGCGGTGAGACACAAAACTTGAGCTCAGAATAAGATTTTTCGGCGTCGGGTGCACGGCATTTTTTGGAGTTTTTTCGGGTTTTTTTGGATTTCGGTTACGGGTTTTGCACGCCTTTTTTTGGGGATCGCACGGGTTTTTACGGAGTTGCTACGCTTTACGCTTTTTTTTGGGTTTGCCCTGTGTTTTTGGAGTCTGCCTTTTTTTGGGTTTTTTCTGGGTTTTTTGGGGTTTTCACGGCTTTTTTTGGATTCCACTTGCCCCTGTCGGTAGCTGTGTAGCATATGGTCTGCTGGGCTCAAAACTGACACCAAAACAGTTTTTAACCCTATACTCCCTTATCACTTTCAAGACTGACTTACAACTTATAAACCCTAAGCACTTTCACCCGAAACCCTAAACCCTATAAACCCTATATAAACCCTATATAAACCCTATAAAACCCTATAAAAACCTATAAACCCTATAAACCCGATATAAACCCTATATATAAACCCTATAAACCCTAAACCTATAAACCGTATAAACCCTATCAACCCTATAGACCCTATAAACCCTAAACCCTAAACCCTTTAATTCAACCCTAAACCCTAAACCGCGTCGATCTCCAGAAAGAGATATTCATACGAATCATATTGAGCAGAATTGCTGCGCCGGCTGCCCCCATCAATGTTTTTGTGGTTTTCCAAGCACATGCCCATTGCATGGGATCTAGGAGCTTCAACCCCTTCTCGTCAGACTATAAACCCCATTGAGCCTCCCAAGCTTCATTTTGCGTGATTACAGCAGAAGCAACCTCAGCAACTATGCCATTTCTTGGATTTTTTTGGGGGTCTATTGCAATATCCAGAGATCCTGTGGATATCCAAACAAGTTCCTTCTGGGGGTTCCCCCGGTAAACCCTAAACCCTAAACCTTAAGCCCTACGGCCCAAACCAACCAAGGTCCGCATTGCAGAACGGGGGCACCTCTTCTCAGAGAGGCACGCCACCAGTGGCCTCAAGGAAATTTAGGGTTTAGGGTTTAGGGTTTAGGGTTTAGGGTTTAGGGTTTAGGGTTTAGGGTTTAGGGTTTAGGGTTTAGGGTTTAGGGTTTAGGGTTTAGGGTTGAAGTATAGGGTTGAGGGTTCAGGGATAAGGCCCGAGCGTTCGAGTTCTTGGTAGACGAGTAACCATATTAGCAAAAAGGGCACCCTGTATTGGGTTGGTTCCATTATATAGGGGAACCTTGAGCCAAAAAAAGGGAAAAGAGCACCAATCATGGGCAACCAAGAATTTCGCCTTCCGTGGTAGCAAGCTGCATTCTCCTACCAAGCCCCGTCGGCAACAACTGACAGTCGCCTGTGTCGTGATGGTCGGATTCTTGCGGGACCCTACACTGCGCTTAACCCGATCCTTGAGCCGCAAGAAGCGCCTAAAGCCCTGAAACCCCTTGTGAGCATCAGCTCGGTGTGTCCTTCAAGCAATGGCCAGGACCCGCGCGCATCATGAGCATCAGCTGGGTGTGTCCTTCAAGCAATGGCCAGGACCCGCGCGCATCATAAGCATCAGCTGGGTGTGTCCTTCACGCAATGGCCAGGACCCGCGCGCATCATGAGCATCAGCTAGGTGTCTCCTTCAGGCAATGGCCAGGACCCGCGCGCATCATGAGCATCAGCTGGGTGTCCTGCAAGCAATGGCCAGGCATCATGAGCATCAGCTGGCCAGGACCCGCGCGCATCATGAGTATCAACTGGGTGTGTCCTTCACGCAATGGCCAGGACCCGCGCGCATCATGAGCATCAGCTGGGTGTGTCCCTCACGCAATGGCCAGGACCCGCGCGCATCATGAGCATCAGCTGTGTCTCCTTCACGCAATGGCCAGGACCCGCGCGCATCATGAGCATCAGCTTCGTGTGTCCTTCACGCAATGGCCAGGACCCGCGCGCATCATGAGCATCAGCTGGGTGTGTCCTTCACGCAACAGCCAGGACCCGCGCACATCATGAGCATCAGCTGGGTGTGTCCTTCACACAAGGGCCAGGACCCGCGCGCATCATTGGCATCAGCTAGGCGTGTCCTTCACTCAATGGCCAGGACCCGCGCGCATCATGCGCATCAGTTAGGCGTGTCCTTCACGCAATGGCCAGGACCCGCGCGCATCATGAGCATCAGCTGGGTGTCTCCTTCACTCAATGGCTAGGACCCGCGCGCATCATGAGCATCAGCTGGCGTCTCCTTCACGCAATGGCCAGGACCCGCGCGCATCCTGAGCATCAGCTTTGTGTGTCCTTCACGCAATGACCAGGACCCGCGCGCATGATGAGCATCAGCAGGGTGTGTCCTTCACGCAAGGGCCAGGACCCGCGCGCATCATGAGCATCAGCTGGGTGTCTCCTTCACGCAAGGGCCAGGGCCCGTGCGCATCATGCATCAGCTGGTTGTCTCCTTCACGCAATGGCCAGGACCCGCGCGCATCATGAGCATCAGCTGGGTGTGTCCTTCACGCAATGGCCAGGACCCGCGCGCATCATGAGCATCAGCTAGGACCCGCGCGCATCATGAGCATCAGCTGGGTGTGTCCTTCGCGCAATGGCCAAGACCCGCGCGCATCATGAGCATTGAGTCCTTCACGCAATGGGACCCGCGCGCATCATGAGCATCAGCTGGGTGTCCCCTTCACGCAATTGTGTCTTTGACGCAATGGCCAGGACCCACGCGCATCATGAGCATCAGCTGGGTGTGTCCTTCACGCAAGGGCCAGGACCCGCGCGCATCATGAGCATCAGCTGGCTGTCTCCTTCACGCAATGGCCAGGGCCCGCGCGCATCATATGCATCAGCTGGTTGTCTCCTTCACGCAATGGCCAGGACCCGCGCGCATCATGAGCATCAGCTGGGTGTGTCCTTCACGCAATGGCCAGGACCCGCGCGCATCATGAGCATCAGCTGGGTGTGTCCTTCACGCAATGGCCAAGACCTGCGCGCATCATGAGCATGAGCTGGGTGTGTCCTTCACGCAATGGCCAGGACCCGCGCGCATCATGAGCAATCAGCTTCGTGTGTCCTTCACGCAATGGCCAGGACCCGCGCGCATCATGAGCATCAGCTGGGTGTGTCCTTCACGCAATGGCCAGGACCCGCGCGCATCATGAGCATCAGCTGGGTGTGTCCTTCACGCAATGGCCAGGACCAGCGCACATCATGAGCATCAGCTGGGTGTGTCCTTCACGCAATGGCCAGGACCCGCGCGCATCATGAGCATCACCTAGGTGTCTCCTTCAGGCAATGGCCAGGACCCGCGCGCATCATGAGCATCAGCAGGGTGTCCTGCACGCAATGGCCAGGACCCGCGCGCATCATGAGCATCAGCTGGCCAGGACCCGCGCGCATCATGAGTATCAGCTGGGTGTGTCCTTCACGCAATGGCCGGGACCCGCGCGCATCATGAGCATCAGCTGGGTGTGTCCCTCACGCAATGGCCAGGACCTGCGCGCATCATGAGCATCAGCTGGGTGTGTCCTTCACGCAATGGCCAGGACCCGCGCGCATCATGAGCATCAGCTTCGTGTGTCCTTCACGCAATGGCCAGGACCCGCGCGCATCATGAGCATCAGCTGGGTGTGTCCTTCACGCAATGGCCAGGACCCGCGTGTGACCCGGTGTGTCCTTCACGCAATGGCCAGGACCCGCGCGCATCATGAGCATCAGCTGGGTGTGTCCTTCACGCAATGGCCAGGACCCGCGCGCATCATGAGCATCAGCTAGGTGTCTCCTTCAGGCAATGGCCAGGACCCGCGCGCATCATGAGCATCAGCTGGGTGTCCTGCACGCAATGGCCAGGACCCGCGCGCATCATGAGCATCAGCTGGCCAGGACCCGCGCGCATCATGAGTATCAGCTGGGTGTGTCCTTCACGCAATGGCCAGGACCCGCGCGCATCATGAGCATCAGCTGGGTGTGTCCCTCACGCAATGGCCAGGACCCGCGCGCATCATGAGCATCAGCTGGGTGTGTCCTTCGAGCAATGGCCAGGCCCCGCGCGCATCATGAGCATCAGCTGGGTGTCTCCTTCACGCAATGGCCAGGACCCGCGCGCATCATGAGCATCAGCTTTGTGTGTGTCCTTCACGCAATGGCTAGGACCCGCGCGCATCATGAGCATCAGCTGGGTGTGTCCTTCACGCAACAGCCAGGACCCGCGCACATCATGAGCATCAGCTGGGTGTGTTCGTCACGCAAGGGCCAGGACCCGCGCGCATCATTAGCATCAGCTGGGTGTGTCCTTCACGCAAGGGCCAGGACCCGCGCGCATCATGAGCATCAGCTGGATGTGTCCTTCACGCAAGGGCCAGGACCCACGCGCATCATGAGCATCAGCTGGGTTTCTCCTTCACGCAACGTGCGCATCATGAGCATCAGCTGGGTGTGTCCATCACGCGAGGGCCAGGACCCGCGCGCATCATGAGCTGGGTGTGTCTTTCACGCAAAGGCCAGGACCCGCGCGCATCATGAGCATCAGCTGGACGTGTCCTTCACGCAAGGGCCAGCCCTGGTGTGCATGATAAGCATCAACAGGCGGTGCAAGCATCATCAGAATCCTAAACCGTAAACCCTAAACTCTAAACCAGTGAAGCCATGAAGACCGCTGCCTGAAGGAGAAGTCCCGCGTCGCGCCGGATGGATCCAGCAGCGTCACCTCGCGCAGGCCTGGAAGGGAAGGGAAACTAAGGGGAGGCTGGCGGGTTTGGGGTTTAGGGTTTAGGGTTTAGGGTTTAGGGTTTAGGGTTTAGGGTTTAGGGTTTAGGGTTTAGGGTTTAGGGTTTAGGGTTTAGGGTTTGGGGTTTAGGGTTTAGGGTTTAGGGTTTAGGGTTTAGGGTTTAGGCCAGCCCACTCGCGGGCACCCAAACGCTCACAGGAACTCCTGCCGACCCCAGACTCCAAAACCCGTTAATTAAGGAATATACCTTATAAATTACAATCGGAAACCCTAATATGATTTACGGTATCTTCCTTAATTAAGGGGTTTTGGAGTCTCTGGGACCTTCGCTCCTGCCATGAAGGCCGCGAAGCTGGCTATTCAAACGTTCGCGTGATGATGTCGAGCAGCCAAGATGAAACAGAACATAACTAGGCTGCCCAGTAACCTAGGCTTAAAAAGGGTGCCCTTTTGTGCTTAAAGGGGTTTATGAGGAAACCTAAACCCCCCAAAAATGGAATAAGGGTATTACTGGGCATCCTAGACAACCACAGGTGATGAAAGACGAGGCATCGAAGTTCGATAAGAAGAGCTTGGTGTGGTACCAAACAATAGCAAAGCAATGGTGTTGACGCAGGAAGGAGAGAGAGTAAACAATCGGAACGATTGAAATCGAAGAACTCAGAAGGATGCAATCAAAGAAATTGACATGTTGAACAAGGTAGCTTGAGAAATGTAATTGCGGACTTTGGACGAATGTCACACCATGCACTATGGGCAAATGAGCAGAATAACGAAGGCAAAGGCCCTGTTGACGCCCCGGGGGCCATCCCTGTCCTATTTGTATTTGGATGTGTTTTATTTGTTGCTGGAGTTGTTTATCATTCGTCCCATGTTTGTTGCATTTGTTGTTGCAGGTGTGTTGGCGGTTGTACTTGTATGTGCAGTTGCGCTTGTGAGTTAGACTTGGAGTATTGGATGACTACGGCGTGTACGCCCACATAGGGTTTAAAACGTCTGGGGTTGAGGCTTAGGGTTTTAAACTGAGGCTCCTGCCGTTAACTCACAAAACCAGTCAGGCCTCACAGTGACCCAACCCTACACACGGAGTTTAGGAGGAAGTAGGGTTTAGGGTTCAGTTTAGGGTTTAGGGTTTAGGGTTCAGGGTTTAGGGTTTGGGGTTTAGGGCTTCGCCTGCGGTAAGTGTCACCATGGTGTGGTGGTTCAGGGGCGTCGGCATGTCGAAGAACATCTGGGCCACGAGGCCTCGGCGACGCTTCGAGGGGCCCTCTTTGCAGCTTCAAGTTCTCTTAGCTGCACTCAGGAGGGTAGCTATAAATTAAACTTTTAGCTGCCTTAATAAGAAACCCAATAAACCCAAAAAAGGTAAGGATCTAAAGTTACAGTAAAGTACCACAAAGTTCTTAGTTGTCTAGTACCTGGGGGAACTACAGGTTAACCTTCTGGATGATAAGGGGATTCTATTACCCCAAAAAGGTTAAAGGTTACATACTCTACTACTGAGAGTTCTGCGGAGAGTGTGACGTTGGGTTTGAGGCATTCGGGCGTGCGTGCTGCCCTAAGCCTGGTTTTATGTAGCAAGAAACCCTGGCAGGCAGGCGCAGACGTCCGTAAGCTGCCTCGGGTACAGGTCGAGGTGGCTCTACCCTAAACCATAAACCCTAAACCCTAAACCCTAACCCTAAACCCTAAACCCTAAACCCTAAACCCTAGGATTCCATTTAAGGATTTTCTTGGTAGCCCAGAAACCACATTCTAATAAGGGCACCCTTTTTTGGTTTGTTTGGTCACTTTATAGGGAACCTTGAGCCAAAAACGGGAAAAGGGTACCACTGGGCTACCAAGTTAGTAACCCACTACGAGAATCCCTGTACTAACAATACTAACAGTCCTTAATAGGGATTATAGAAACCCTCAACTTTGAATCCCTATGAAGGACGGCGAGTACAAGGGGAAGCATCCCAACCCTACACTCTCAATCTTGGCCGCGGCGTGCTCCTGTCTCCAAACTGATATGGTTTAGGGTTTAGGGTTTAGGGTTTAGGGTTCAGGGTTCAGGGTTCAGGGTTCAGGGTTCAGGGTTCAGGGTTCAGGGTTCAGGGTTTAGGGTTTAGGTATGAAGCCCGGCTGCGTTTCGATAGCCGGGCGTGTGATCCCGCGCTCGTCTTGCCGAGTGGGTTCAGTAGTGGCGAACCTCCTCGGGACAGCGCCCCATACGAGGGTTTCCGGGTGTTTCCAAGACATAGGGTTCAGTCGCCTTTGCAAATTTCCCCCCCACCCCAGATGTAAGTTTTAAAGAAGGGGTGCCTGAATTGTCGGAAACACTCAACTTCTTGGATCCCGATTATCATACGGCACCTAATATTTAGGGTACCCGAAAAAGGATCATAATTTTGACAGCCACCCAAATAAGTGTAGTGTGTTCGAGAAGGCCTGCGGGAACCCTATCCCAAGAACACGGGCACCGCGGGAGAACCTAGATACTCAGCCCAAACTTGTAGGCCCTGACCCTAAACCCTAAACCCTAAAACTAAACCCTAAACCCTAAACCCTAAACCCTAAACCCTAAACCCTAAACACTAAACCCTAAACCCTAAACCCTAACCCTAAACCCTAAACCCTAAACCCCAAACCCTAAACCCCAAACCCTAAACCCTAAACCCGAAACCCCAACCACCCCCCTGCTTCCCCCCAGCAGATGCCACTCCTCGAGGATGATCGTCGGACCGGGCTGCGAGCACCAGGTCGGCAAGCCTGGTCGGGCATTTTGGGGTTTAGGGTTTAGGGTTTAGGAGCTGGGGTTTACTTTTGTTTGTTGCCTTCGTTTGTCGTTAGGGAGAGGGGGGGGAAAGGGGCGAAAGCTCTCCGAGCCAGTCATCGTTCGTTGCAGCATCATGATTCAGCCTAAGCACTGAACTCATCTTCGGAGGATCTCCGTGGGTTCAGTTTGCAGGCCCTGCACCCCATCCCGGAAGCCCCCAACAAACCTCACAGGCCGCAAGTGTAAGTCGGGAAGGGTGAGACAAAACCAAGAAGCCCAGACCTCTAGAGGTCCCCACAGATGTTGGCACCAAATCCCTGGAGCTTGGGTGGGTTGAAGCGCCATGTATCAAACCTTGAAACCCAAACTCGAAGCCCGATGTCCGTTTAACCCCGAGCCCCCAAACCCGAGGGTGAGGAGTGGGGGGCCATGAACCCTAAACCCTAAACCCTAAACCCTAAACCCTAAACCCTAAACCCTAAACCCTAAACCCTAAACCCTAAACCCTAAACCCTAAACCCTAAACCCTAAACCCTAAACCCTAAACCCTACCCTAAGGGGAAGGCTTTGAATCAGGTGGATAATTCCGGTTTGGACTCCATGCCCTTCTTCCTTGCAACCACAGCCGTATCTCAAGCCGCGGGGCAAGTTGCGAAAGAGCTCCAGACAGGGGTAAAGCGACACCAAGCAGAACGCCTCGCCGCACCCCCTCCCCGAACAGGTTCTTGAGGCTTAGAAAGCTCAACATCCCCGGGACGACAAGTTGGAGCTACGGGGCCTGTTCTTTAGCATGCAGATACTGACGACTCTTGCGGAGTGCCATCAAATGTCGCTTTCACTACGCCGGCGAGCGCAGTAATTAGGGGGGGGCGGGGGGGGCGGAGGGTTGGAGGGGCTAGGCTTCTTGCAAGCGTTAGCCTAAACGCTGCCGAGCGAACGCTCTTGTTGCTCCCGTTGAGTTCTTCATATCAAGAACTTTGTAGTCACAGTTGCCCTAAACCCTAAACCCTAAACCCTAAACCCTAAACCCTAAACCCTAAACCCTAAACCCTAAACCCTAAACCCTAAACCCTAAATATGAACCCTAAACCCCAAGCGTCAACCTCGAGAGAGACTACGGTCGGTCAGGTATGCACACAAAAATTAGGGGCTCAGAAGCTTCGGGTCTGGTAAACCCTAAACCGTAAACCCTCAACCCTAAACCCTAAACCCCAAACCCTAAACCCTAAACCCTAAGGGTTGAGGGTTGAGGCCTTTGGCAGCAGAAAACTCTGCAGAATCTCTGGTTAAGTTGGGATTCTCGGGCCAAGCTTGAACCTCCCAACTGTAAGGCTTCGACTTTAGGGTTCAGGGTTCAGGGTTCAGGGATCAGGGTTCAGGGTTCAGGGTTTCGGGTTTATGGTTCAGGGTTCAGGGATCAGGGTTCAGGGTTTAGGGTTCAGGGTTCAGGGTTCAGGGTTTAGGGTTTAGGGTTTAGGGTTTGCGGGGCTAACGGTTAAGGGTTAGGGGTTTCACTAGACGTGCGCTTTCCAGGGAGTGTTCAGCGCTACACCCACCATGAATCTGAGCACAGACTGTGTTAATACATCCTTTATATATATATATATGTATGTGTATATATATATAATGTGTATATATATATATACATATGTATATGTGTGTGCGTATCAATCTGATTTGATTACACATGTTTCTTCCTTAGATGCCAAAAAGAGCCTGCAATTCAGATCAACTCCTGATTCGACAAGCGTGGCGGCCTTGGGCGTGTAGCAAAGACCTGGGCCCACGCGGCTGTGGAGTCCACAGTCGAGGTCTGCCTAAACCCTAAACCCTAAACCCTAAACCCTAAACCCTAAACCCTAAACCCTAAACCCTACACCCTAAACCCTATTCGGGGAAAGGGCTCAAACGCGATTCTCAGTTTCATGCTGGAAACTCTTTAGGTCCTCTGCGAAGATAAGCTTGCCGGCTTGGGCACGGGTCGGTTTAGGGTTTAGGGTTTAGGGTTTAGGGTTTAGGGTTTAGGGTTTAGGGTTTAGGGTTTAGGGTTTAGGGTTTAAGGTTTAAGGTTTAAGGTTTAGGGTTTAGGGTTTAGGGCTAAGGGTTAAAGTTTAGGGTTTAGGGTTTAGGGTTTAGGGTTTAGGGTTTAGGGTTTAGGGTTTAGGGTTTAGGGTTTAGGGTTTAGGGTTTAGGGTTTAGGGTTTAGGCATCTCGGGGGGGTTTTCTCAAAGCGAATTTTCCGGGCATCATAAGGGTTTCGGGAGCTTTCAGTTCGACTGCCGTGCCAAGCCCCTACAGTTCCCATGAAAGATGGCCGGTTCTCATCTCAACTGTGGAGGAAATTTTGGGGGGGTGTATAGACAGGAATGACAGCGCGTCCGCAGCAGTGTCTCTTTCTTGGGAACCTTCAGATTCTGATGGGCCAGGGATCAGGGGTTTAGGGTTTAGGATTAGGGGTTTAGGGTTTAGGGTTTAGGGTTTAGGGTTTAGGGTTTAGGGTTCAGGGTTTAGGGTTTAGGGTTTAGGGTTTAGGGCCTACAAGGCAGATCGGCCTCTCCTGCTGCTCTCTTGCAACAAATAATTCACGTGAGCATTATACCACCTCCCGCAACTCCACCCCAAACCCTAAACCCTAAACCCTAAACCCTAAACCCTAAACCCTAAACCCTAAACCCTAAACCGCCCCAAACCCTAAACCCCACTCCCCGCTCCCCCCCTCCCCCGTGCAAGCCAAGACCTCGAAAGCATACAATCCCACGAAGACCTGATCCCAAGGGCTTAAAGCTTAGGGTTTGGGGTTTGGGGTCCGAGTTTAGAGATTAAAGGGGTTAGGGTTTAGGGTTAGGAAGCTCGAATCAGGAGAGCACTCCGAATATGATTTCAGAGCTACTCCCTAACTTCAGGGTAGTGGGGTCTCTGGAGGACGGTTGTAGCTGTTGTAAGTATCCGAATACCTAGGGGATAGGGTTAGGGGGACCCTTGGGGATAAAGACCCTCTGAATAAGGTCCCTGCTTAAGAGAGCCAGAAGAGGGTTCAGAAGAATTTCCCTTTTAAGTGTCCTACCTAGGAATACCCAAACCCAGAAGAACCTTCAGGATCAGGACGCCAAGCGGCGCGTTTGTGACTGCACCCGCTCATGCACAATCAGGCAAGCCACGAAGAGACGCCCTCGGGACGGGGTTTTGCGTAGATGTAGGGTTTAGGGTTTAGGGTTTAGGGTTTAGGGTTTAGGGTTTTGGGTGTTGGGGTCTTCGGGTTCCGGGTTTCCCTGGTGGTTCATGGGTGCGAAAGACGATACGCAGCTGGTCTTATGCATTCAAGCACAACAATTGTCGAGGACTGAGGGGACTTGTATTTGGGTTGAGTACAGGTGCACTTGAGTACAGGCGCACTTGAGATAGGAGCACCTACAGTTCAGGGTAGGACACATACATATGCCGAACCAGGCTTTCTGTTGCAATCCTTTCGT